CCGCATTGATAGATGTAATATCAGCTCCAGAAACAGATCCAGTTTGAGAGTTAGGAGGGAGGGAAACATGTGAAGAAGAGTGAAGAATAGAATCATCAGCGTAAGAATGGGTAGAATTAGTTGTAGTGTGAAGTAAATCATTGATAAAAAGAAGGAAGAGAGTAGGTGAAAGAAAAGAACCCTGTGGGACGCCACTACTGGTAGAGAAAGAGCGAGAGATCGATCCCTGGGCAACAACTGCCATGGATCGATTCTCAAGGAAGCTAGAGATTAGAAAAAATGGGGGAGAGAAACCATAAGATGGAAGTTTAGGAATCAAAGACTTGTGCCATACCCTGTCAAATGCTTTGGAGATGTCGAGGGCCACGACGAAAGTTTCCCCATAATCCCTAAGAGATGATGACCAAAGATGGGTGCAGTAGGAGAGCAGATCACCAGTAGATCTCCCCTGGCAAAAGTCATACTGGTGATCCGACAAAAGAGAATGGCGTTCAAAGTGACGGAGAAAATGGGAGTTCAAGATTGTTTGGAAAATCTTAAGAGAGGAATGAAGTTAGGGCAATGGGGCGATAGTTTGAGGGATTAGAATGGTCACCCTTCTTCGGGATGGGCTGAACCAAGGCATGCTTCCAGGAAGAAGGAAAAGTTTGGGTCTTGAGGCAGAGGCGACCAAGCACAGAGGCCAGAACATAGGGGGTATTCCGTCCGGTCCATGTGCCTTACTCACACCCAACCTAGACAACACATCGGCAAGCCTGCGAGTGGAGATTATAGGAAAGTGCATAGGTTCAGTAGGAGGAGCAGGGACAGGAGGGATAGAGTAGGAATCGTCTAAGATGGAATTGAATGAGAATAAGGTACCAAAGAGATTGGCTTTGTCAGGGGGAGAGTTGGCTATACCTGTAGAGTTATCAGGTCGGAAGAGAGGAGGAAAAGAGGGAGTGCAGAAGTTATTACAGGTGTTTTAGATTAAGGACCAGAAGGATTTACTAGAGGAAGAATTAGTCAGGACAGCGGTGTTTCTTTTTATAAATTCCGTTTCTTCGAAGCACATACCGAGGCGTCCCGAGGGGAAAAGCAACATTCATCCCAAGGAAAGTCTGTGAAGAATTCTCGTAAGGATAGCCAGTTTGCCCTTCAGTAGTGCCATAGTTGGCATTTAGAAGGGGGTGGGGGGGTGGTCGTGCCGAGTTTGATTTAATAGAAATAAGATTGTGATCAGAAGACCCTAAGGGGCAGAAATTGAGTATGAATAGTGTGAGGGGTTAGAGGTAAAACAAAGATCAAGAATGTTAGCAAGTTGATCGTGTCGATCAGGAACGCATGTAGGGTGTTTGATTATTTATTCCAAATCCTTAAGCACCAGGCATTCTCAAAACAAAGTCCAGACATTGTCATTACTTTTAAGTTTACTCGTATCTCCATCTACAGTAGTTCTGATATAATCTGTAAATGCAAAAGAACATAATGGAGGACACTGCAGCTGGCCTATTGGCCCATACTGGACAGTCCCATTTACACCTAACCCCTATCGCTCATATATCCACCCAACCTATGTTGAAGCTGCTCTTCACGGCACATTTCTTCACTTAGGAAATGTCCATGACTTAGACCATAAAACAACACCCTTAAAACTTACCTGAACGTGGCATTTGGGGTCTGAAGAGGCCATCCTGTCTACTACCTCTGACTGTAGCGATGAGTTTGAAACTAGTGACGTCATGGCGGCCCTGTTTCTAGAGTAATAAACTTATCTCTACTATTATAGCAGGACTTTAGACACATTATATATATACTGTATCACTCTACGAACGTGACAGAGTGTATTTCTTGTGTTTACCCAGAACATTCAACTCGTCCATTGTGAACTCTTGGAACAATCTGCCAGAGAGTGTTATGACGGTACCAAGTATAAGCTCTTTCAAGACCAGATTTGACCAGCACTGGAGCAGGTTCAGATACATTCAGGAGCCGGTTCATGCTCCAAAAGTGCAACATAGACGTGACCGACCGCCCAAGAGGCTAAAGAGTCGATCAGGTGGCAAGGAGGATAGTAGTAAAAGTAAAGTATAAGAGGGTACAAGTTATACTTCTCGCTGAGTAAGATAACGTCAGTACAAGCACAGCCCTCTCACATTTACACTGAGTCACACTCCACGTCAACCCCTATCATTGTTCCCTGATGCTCATGAAGTGATATATTTTTCCTAGACCCTGATTAAATGTTTCTATATAAATACATCTATTCAGAATTAAACGTCTGCATCAACAATTCTATGGGGACACAGATAGCTTGTGTTTTGTATCGATAAATATGTCAGTGACTTACATATATGAACCTATCTTGACCCGTAGTGATGATCATGACTAGGATATAAACAGACACTCATGGCTCTTCCTGTACAGCACGGAGGACAAACGCAGACGGGGCAGAAACAAATTTGCTGTTAGATGATGATGAAAATAGTTTAGCGAGCCATGGTGGGCCACTTTGTAGTTCCAAGGTGGACATAGTGTATAGGCTAGAGGTAACATAACACAGACCTAAACTAATGGTGACATTCCATCTAACACTTTAATTTTTACAATTTAATTTTCCTTATCCATAATTACACAAGTAAAACATATATACATTATTGATCTCTTAAAAACTATACCATTGGTTCTGTGGCGCGGCTTGAGTCCTTGACGTGTTTGTGTCAGGACTAAAAAAAAGTCAGGATGGTGAATCTAGTACCAGACCGGTTTTACCACTGGCAGCTGCCTCATCCTCACTGTCCTGACACTCATCCTCCTGACACAGTGTCTCTCTGAAGACCTTGTGAGGAGGTGCCCTACCTCTCTGATGGCTTACTGACTGCTGAGGTCAGGTACTGAGGATTAATAAAATGAGTTAACAGAATGCATAGGTGTGGAAAACGATTTTCTACCAAAATCTATTTATCCAAACGTTGCCAAGGTTAAACGAAACAATCTTGTCCTGCTTATTTCTATCCTGAACGACTTTTACCTGAAGCTGGTAATATACCGTATACGAGTAGTGTATAATAATGGTTGCCCCTCGTGTAACGAGGATGGCCGGCCCAAGGGCCACCTAGGCGTGAATTTGTTTAAGGTGTAGAAGCTGTCGCCAACACAACAACCACACCTTAAGTTAACGAGCTGCATGACCTAGTGTTTAAGGCGTAGAAGCTGTCGCCAACACATTAACCATACCTTAAGTTAACGAGTTGCATGACCCAGTGTCAATGAAAAGTCCGAGAAGACCGGACAGCTCGCTTACTACACTGACCCCGAAACACGCTCCGCAAAACGATTAACATCCGGAGGTTCACAATGGACGAGTTAAGGGTTCTGGGTAAACACAAGAAATACACTCTGCCACGTTCGTAGAGTGATACGGTATATATAATTTGTTTAAAGTCCTGCTATAATAGTCGAAATAAGTTTATTACTCTGGAAACAGGGCCGCCAATTGCAATGACGTCACTAGTTTCAAACTCATCGCTACAGTCAGAGGTAGTAGACAGGATGGCCTCTTCAGACCCCAAATTCCACGTTCAGGTAAGTTTTAAGGGTGTTGTTTTATGGTCTAAGTCATGGACATTTCCTAAGTGAAGAAATGTGTCGTGAAGAGCAGCTTCAACATAGGTTGGGTGGATACATGAGCGATAGGGGTTAGGTGTAAATGGGACTGTCCAGTATGGGCCAATAGACCAGCTGCAGTGTCCTCCATTATGTTCTTTTGGACATAACAAATTCCCATGGTCACATCAACTCAGCTGTCATGTACTCTTACCTGGTAGACTTTCTCTTTTTTTCAGTGCAGTTACAGAGTATATCAGTACCAAATGGAGATACGAGTCAATTTAGAAATAATGACATTGTCTGGACTCTGTTTTGATAATGCCTGATGCTAGACGCTGTTATTGCTTTGATGATTCACTAATGAACCACTGGGATATATCATCATTTATATTAATTAATGAGTAAAATTTTACTGTAACTACCGTAAGTATTTTGAGAGGTCCTGAAATTTTATCAATAATCATATATTGTGAGACGGCCTCAAATAAAACTGCTTCCCTTATTGATACAAACTGAGGGTGGGGGGGGGGAGGAGTCCCTACTTTAAGAAAACTTACTTTAAATGGGCCATAAGAATATTTTGCTAGGATAAAGCCTTCAACATAAAAAAAATGGTTAATTACCATTATTTAGAGCGGCATACACACAAACACAACCAGTTTGCTCTAGATGCGTCGTATCCTCTTCCTCCCCTTTCCCGTGGGAATCCTGTTACATGTACTTGACTCCTTACGTAACCATTAGAGGCCGCTGGGAGCCGTGGGGTGGGAGGGCTCAGCAACCTCAGTACCAGATAAACGAATACTCATGCCAACAAAGTGAAAATGATACTGTTTAAAACCATTTATTATTATATAGAATTTACAGTATATCCACTATCCGACGAGCTATGCAGACCTTGCTGACGAAACCTTTGTGTCGCCGATCAAATGGGAAAAAAGAGGCGGTGAACACGTTTTGAGTCCACAACACTCATAGTTCCCAGTATTATATTACGAGATTCCATGCACGTTCTTTTCTCTTCCTAGAACACGTGCGGAATTCACAGACTCGAGGAATTCGGTGGGTTGAACTGAAATATCACCTTTAATACAATTTTGTGATATCATTGTCCTTTTTTCCTACATGAAACTGGTTTGAGTGGAAGAAAAACTAGAGAGAGGGAAAAAAATAAAACGAGAACACCACATAAATCTAAAACGTGTCTAAGTACACCCTTCACAAGATGATGTAATATAACTGGCCAAGTGACCCGGGGCAGTTATCATTTTTATCACTTACCCAACAAGGAAATTATCTACTATTAATCGTAATGAAAACTTTAACTGCGACCTTTGACACTGTGAAACAAATTGTCAATAGTGTGTGAAGGTCGACAGGCAGCCTGGGCTCTGATTCAGCAGGAAGTGGGGGTGGGCGGCCAGTCGCACTGTGAGCTTCACCAAAACTAGGCATTCAGAGACTCAGACTGTCAGACAGTCTCCCGGCGACTATCCTCACGGCAACACCGTGTACGTTTTGGTCCCGCCTTGTACTGTACATCCAGTCGTCCATTGTTGGCCAGTGTTATCGTTTTTGGTAACACACAATATAGTGTTTATTACTTGTGCAAGTTTCATTGGTGCTTCTCCAGTTTTACGGTAATTTAATAAGTTTTTGTTGATTTTCTGTAACACCAGCTTGGTTGTTGCGTTGTTCCTAGTAGTGTTTCTTATTATAAGTGGAAGATAATAAATTTATAGGTTTTTATTCTCATAAATTAACCTTTCTCTGTCGATGAGAGAAGTGAGACTGTGGCTAAGGAAAATCGTGATCTGACCGTGGGTTCATAATGATCAGTTGACCGGTGAGGCGGGCGGCTGGGTGGGGCGCGGCCCTGTCAAGGTCACGCCTTTCCAAGTGTTGAAGAGTCACATGTGTGAGTGCACGTGTGGTCATAATACATTATGGTTGGGTAGGTGTAAAGTTTACCTCCGCCACACTGTTTGGTGGGATCTTTACCGTTATGTTTATTGTACAAATCTGGTGAGGGAACAAGGAAGTCTCACTGAAAACACCTTGCTCGTGTCAGGGAGACCCCAGTGTAAATTATTGGACAATATTCTACATAAGTGGTACCAAATTGGAAGGGGGGGGGGGAGGTTGGTTCAGGGGGGCTGAGGCTGTGTGGAAAAATATTTAAATCTACATTATTGTTTCTTTAATATGAAGTTTTCAATAAATTCTGCAACTTTTGTCTTGGTACATTTCAGTCTTCCCCATATACACGAGATAATGGGTTAAAAAATTAAGAGTTGGTTGACCTTGAGAGTAATATAAATACTGGTACACTATAAGGTAAAATGTATTAATATTTGATTAAAATTGAGTTTTAAAATTGGAGAGGAGGCGTGAGGTAAAGTAAAAAGCTAAAGTGGGGGCGTCATGTGAAAGTTTGGTTATCACTTCTGAATCCATCCATCAACCAAATTGGATCTTAACCACCCGAACGGCTAGTAAGCTATTAAATAATGAAATGACAAATAAAATAAGTTTGGGCAATATTTTCCGTCTGCCTATTTTATACTTCGTTTATTGTTTTTTCAGAGAGTATACCTTAGTCGTATTATACAAGTCTTGAATTTCCACATGGATATTTTTTCTCTACCGCAATAGGACGTCACTACAGGATGCCCCCCACACACACACACACATGCTCGAGGCACTTTTAAGAATGTATCGCTGTTGGTGGTGTGGTAAATGTGAAACTGGTGGGGCGAATCCCATGTTACGTCTGAATAGTAGTATCGCTGTTCAGTGGCAAGTTCTTGTTATAATCAATCCTGTGATAGTTTTAAATCGCCAAAGTGAACCGGAAACTGCTGCATGCTTGCCTGAAAATGCAGTCTAATAATTATAATTAGACTGGGAAAATTGTTCCTTGGGAGGATGGCGAAGGTAAACCTACTGAACGTTTCAGGTATATCTTATCCTATTTTAATCACCAAAACAGTCATGACTATAAACTGCTCCGTCATTCGAAACCATCTGACTGAAAAAAATGGTGGATATAAACCAAATAAGAAAAGTTGCACAATACTGATAGCGGTAAAATAAACGGCTACCCAAGTGGTCTACGAGTATGACTCAGAGGGAAGTCATGTGGAATGGAATTCTCCGGAGTGAGTTACTCGGAAGCAGTTACCAATGGCATTAAAGCTTGAAATAATCGGGAAGCTGATAGTAGCGACTAAGCTTGATAACTATAAGGTATTGGTCAGGCTACTCCTGGTTGTCCGAAAATTTTACTTAATTTACACAGGGAAACTATCTTCTCGCTGCGAAATCCAAGTCACGGAAACAAAACATTCCTGCGGCAACAAACCGATAACGCTCTTTGACCGAGAAGAATACGGTCCACTGACGCAACCCGAGGAGTGGAAGCTACACCACTTTGCCCCCCTCCCACCACCACCTACCCCAAAAATGAAGGGGCTGAAACAACTTAACACCTTTTTGTAATAGTGAAGGAACAGTGTCCAGAAAACAATCACAGCTGATGGCCGCGAGAGTTACAGGTGGTGGAGTGGGAAGAGTCGACACAAGGTACAGTCTTCCTCGCCGCCTACAATAAATATCTGACAATCGTGGTGATGGTTGAGGGACCTACAACCGCATAACGGACTGCCTGGGTCATGGTTGGTGGACTTTTGCGAATCCAGATGAAATAAGTCTATCGTGTTCAACGTAAAAGGGGGCTGTACCTAAGTACATGTCCAAACGGGACACCGCACACAAGGCCGTTGGGGCATTGGTGGCTAGCATACCAACTATTCTTCCTCCTGCTTACGTATATAATTGTTCAAAGTCGTGGCATGGCAACACTTCAAGCGTCAGAAAGTAAATACGCGTCAGTCAAGTTATTCTGGGTAGCCGACCCACTCGTTATATTTCTGCCGTTCCTTCCTCCTGATTTTTTTTATAGCCCGACCCTCAAGGATCACTTATTTTCCCAGTGTTGTAGTGTGAGGGGCGGCAGTGACGCGGACCAGGGCACGTGTGTGTGATGACGACACAGTCCACGTCGACGGGTGAGTGTGTGTATCCCGCGAGGGGCAAGGTCATAAGAATATAAGAATGGAGGAAACCACAGCGGGCCTATTGGCCCATACTGGGCGGTCCCATTTACACCCAACCCCTATTGCTCACATATCCATCCAACCTTTGTTTGAAGCTATCCAGCGTATTCGAGTTAATGATGATATTTGGTAACTTGTTCCATTCATCCACTACTGTTACCAAACCAGTGTTTACCTATTTCGCGCCTAAATCTAAATTTGTCTAATTTAAAACCATTGTTAGGAGTTTGCTCCTAGTTGGATAGTTTGAGTACCTTTGTAATGTCCCCTTTGTTCAGGCCTGACTTCCATTTATACACCTATCATATCGCCTCTCACTCTACGTCTCTCGAGGGAGTGCAAATTAAAATGCTATAACCTGTCTCTGTTCCTAATGCCCGGGATTAGCCTTGTCATTCTCCTCTGAATTCTTTCCAAGGATTCAATATCCATTCTGTAATAAGGTGACCAGAATTGAACTGCATAATCCAAGTGAGGTCTCACAAGCGCAAGATATAGTTTTAGTATGACCTCGCTAGTCTTGTAACTAACACTCCTTTTCTCGTGTTTTAGTTTGATACATTTGGTAGAATTCTTTGGGGTTTGTCTTCGCCTCCCTTGCTATCCTTACCTTATTATTCCTCTTGGCTTTCCTTATCTCGGTTTTAACCCAACTCGCCAATACCCTATAATAATCCCGGAGGTAAATTTCGCCACGATTTATCCTTCTACCGATAGCCTTCCTTTGGCCAATTATGTTCTTTAAATAATTATTTATCCATTTAGGGTCATTGTTGTCTGATCTGAGTTTTTTGTATGGTATGTTCTGCCTTTGTGCATTAAGTAACTCATTATTTAAATTGTCGTGGAACTCGGCAATCTCAGATCTCGTTATCAGGTTGGTGTCAACCGTCAGGTTCCCGGGTGGGGTGAGGTCGGTGTGAGTCACCCCCAGGCGTGATACCCCTTCCCTCAACTGCCTCTTCAAACTATCAAAGTTTGCCCTTCTGAAATCTGGGACTTTAGTGGAATTTTCCTTTCGTCCGCCCTGAAAATCTAACTGGAATCTAATTTCTTTGTGATCGCTGTTTGCAAGTGCGTTCCCTACCTCGACATTGCTAATGAGGTTTTCTCTGTTCAACAGAACTAAATCGAGTATATTATTACCCCCGGTGGGTTCAGTTATATGTTGACTTAGGAAACAGTCCTGGATCGTTTTGAGGAAATCCTCTGATTCTGAGTTACCTGTAAGGTCAGTCCAATCTATTTGGCCAAGGTTAAAGTCGCCTACTATACAGACTTTGTTGTGTATGGAAGCCCTGCGCATTTCATCCCAGATAAGTCGCTCATTAACGCTATCAAGATTGGGAGGTCTATATATTACTCCTGTGATTAATTTTTCCCGACCGTCGATTAATTCTATCCAAATTGTTTCTGTATTCCTCTGTTTTTATTTCCTTGTTTATTTCACACTTCAGGTTATCCCTGACATAGACTGCTACTCCGCCTCCTTCCCTGATCTGCTTGTCGGTGTGGAACAATTTGTAACCTGCAATTTGGTATTCGACAGGTAACTCACGTGTGTCTAGGTTGATCCATGTTTCAGTGAATGCTATTAAATCGATTTTTTCGGTACATACCAAGGCCCTAATATCATCCATTTTGTTTCTCAAACTTCTACTGTTCCGAACAGTCTGTTCGCATAGTAGACATTTAAGTTAGTCGTGTTCTGAGTCCTCCCTTTACCGCGTTTAGGTCTTAACTCGCTGTCTAATTTAGTTTTGTCATCATTCCTAACACTATTTCCCTGTAATCTTTTACTGTGTTTACCCGCTCCCACTGCAGTCTCCCCCACCCCGTGCCCATATGTTCACCTAGTAGTTTAAAGACTTCGGTATCTTTTGAACTGCCCCCTCTAGAGACCCCGCCAGGGTTGCCACGCTTTTGATGGTAGACGGGGGCCATGTATTATCAGTGCATGTGAGGGGCGCAGGTAAGTAGTCTATAGGTGACCATGTGTCCTCCACATGTGGAGCTGTGGAACCTGGTTAAGTAGGAAGCACCGCGTGGGGTTATGTAGGGCGCATATGAGGGTTGCTGGGTACTGTGTGTCCACGTGTGAGGAACACTGTGTGTGTGTGTGTGTGTGTGTGATGATTACGTGTCCTGTTGGCTATGTGCGTTGTGGCGGGAACCACGTGTGGTGTCCGTGTACACGCCCCGCCTCACTGACCTCCCCTGCTCCCTCTCATGGCCTCACCTGTGGATAAGGAAATAATTCTAATACCGTTGTCTGTCGACTCCCGGTACTCATTTAGGTAGAAAGGTCCTCCTTTTGTGTCTTATGTCAGACTGGTAGTTGTTTTCAACCTGTATAGTGGCAGAGATCCGTGGTATTTAAGGGCGGGATCACCAGTGTAGCACTTATAATAAAGGTCATCTGGGGGCTAGAGCCAGTGTTGTGTGTGGTCAGTTAGTGCTCCCTCGGCAGTACCCGACTGATGCTTCTCTCCCTGGGCAGGTCTGACATCTCTACCACCACCTCAGGATCACTAGTGTGAAGATGCGCGAGAACCAGACAGTCGCTGCTGCCCCCGGCACTTGGACCACGTCTACCACCAAGAGGTTAGTGCCTTCATTAAGTGTGTGTGTGTGCACCAGTTGTTCTGTTCGTGTGAGTGTCTTGGTAGGTGTAAGAGTGTCTATCCTTCAGCTCTGTAAATATTGAGCTTATACTCTCCTCTTATAGGAAATCTATGTACATTGTGTTGTAGTAGAACACAGTGCACTTGGTAAACCTAGCCTGAATATGGGTCACTGTCAATACATCCGATCTTCAGAGGGCACAGCGTCGTGGATGCTTCGGTCCATCAGTGATTAAAACAATTCCTAAGAAGTGTGTGTGTGTGTGTGTGTGTGTGTGCAGTATTTTTGGGGATTTGAGTTCATAATTCTTGTACAAGTCTGGAAGGCTGAACAATGTATATGTTTCTGAAGTGAGGAGCTTATTTATTTTCCCATCCGTTAAATTTTAGTGTACAGTATTGACATTCACACACACACACTGGCTGATAAATGTCACTTATGATGATCAGCTTAAGGTATTGTCGGTGTAGAATACAGGGTGTATATTGTAAGAAATGAACTTATTTTTTAAGATATTTACAATATATAGCACTGGCGAGGGTGTTGCTGTTATTGATGTGGGGTGTTGTAGGTGTCGCAGCGTTCAGACCCACATCACTACTAATATATGTTATAAGGTCGAGTATACTCCTGTAATGCTGCACCAGCATATAAATAAATAAAATTATCGGTCGTGAGTGATTGAGAGTAGACACAGCTGCTAGATTATGTAAAAGTCTAAATAATATTCTCTATAAGTGGTAATGTGCGGTTCAGGTGTGTGATTCTCTTCAACCCGTCAGGTAAACCATAACTCCCTGACTACTACTTAAGGAATAATCGTTTATCAAAAAATAGAAATAAGTTTTCAGAATTAAACAAGTACTGGTTTATATTCATGGCGTCTGCTCTCATGTTTTAAGTAAGAAGTAGATTTGTTTGGGCCAAGACTGGTCATTATAACCAGTCTCAATCATGGCGAGCTTTGGGGTCTGGGTAACAAGAGAACCATACATACACCCGCTGGCTCTCCCTTCACCTCTCCACTGACTACAGCAGGCATTAGACTCACCACCTTCGTATGTGCAACAAGTCCATTTTGTTTTAATATTCTCCGTGTTCAACTACACGGGCGCGGTCACTTCTTTTGTGGCATAGAGGAACTATCTCCCTTAACTTCCCCGCGTCCTTCAGGGCTCTGGTTGACTCACTCAAATGAATTCCTCACCATTCACTTGCTCCCCAACACACTTCACCTGTAGAATAACCGCCCTCACGCTACATTGGGGAGGGGGGTTAGGTTAGGTTAGCATTAGTGTGGTTAATCTTCAGGTCAAATAACCTGGAGGCGAATCTATAAAGAAATCTGAAGGTTAAAAAAAATACTACACTGGTGAATTGAATTTAAACACGGCGGTCAGTGAGGCAGACTGAAACGTACGTATTTCCTGTTTGCCTCACAGCTAGAGATTACACCCAGTGGAATTTTCTTGGGACATTTTGTATGGCTCGTTATATACTTTTATTACACTGAAGTCTGCGAGGTAGCCAATGTTGCCACCCCACACTGCATTGTTTCTCTTCCGGGATAAGCGCACGAGTATCAAGGTTCTCATATTTTTTTTTATATATAAAAATGCCGGTGCGAAACATTTAAAAGATAGATGTACTGTAATCATGACGACCTTGGTACGAGCCAGAGACTTAATATAGTTTTTGGAACGAGCGAGGGAATCTAAAAGTCAAATTGTTTACTAGACCAGTGGCTCTTAAACTGGGGGGCGTGAGCTGTCAAAGAGATAAATCTGGTCAGAAACTGAACGCGTCTTGTACACGATTGCTTATCACTCACTCTTTAATAACGAAAGGGGGGGATCTAGGACGTGTGCAAAAGGGGGGGAGCGAGGCAAAAAATTTAAGAACCACTGTGTAAACTAGACGGTGGACACAAGCCACATTCGCTGATGTGTTTGTAACAGAAGTTCAGTAGAATTACTTCCTCACGTGTGGTGCCTCGTCAGTGTTGTGTGGTATTAATACTGTTGTGAAAACGCCTCCAAGATAGGTATCTATATACAATGTGCTAGCCTAGTTATTGCGGTTTTTACCTAGTGAGCCTATATAGTTTACGTACGCAGCTACTTCTTATAATGAAGCACTGGGTTGCGTTCATGCAGTGCCCTACTAACCGTAATCACAAAAGTGTATGTTGGACAGAGGCTCCACCTGTCTCAAAATACACTTATCATGTACAACCACGTCTTAGTGGGTTCAAGGGGTGACCAATGCGTGCTGCCTGTGGTATAACGCTACACGAGTGTAATTAGGTTATAGCAGTGTAATCCATGCTGTTGTAATTGTCATATTCGTGTGTTATTCTCGTCAGTATGTTTATGTTATGGTACAGAGACAAAGCCAATTAGAAGTAGTCATCCCTTTAATTACACATGTAACACCGGAAATAGGATCATATATACACAAGAGACTATATTTAGATACGTTCACCCTGCACCAATTTACAGACAAAAATTATTAAAGTACAGTCTCTCCAAATGTTATGTATTAGACTTCTCTATTCTTATGAGGACGAATCTTTGAGACACTGAACGTTGGTAAGTGGCGACTCTGAGTTTTTTCTGTGAATCTGGTTTAATGTGCGTATCTCGGCTGGCTCTTCCTGGAGGTTTTTGTCACAGATACACATAGGCAGAACAACACGGTTAATACTAAGTCGTACTAAAATTAGGAAGTGCATATTGAAGCGTCTCTCACAATTGATAGAAATGTTAACTAGTAAATAAATACTAACCTCACTGACTGATAATTTAGTGAAGGCCAATCTCCCTCAGTGGGTTGTTAGTGTAGATGGCACTCTTAGGCTTTAGGTGTTTAATTAAATACGTACACAAGTTTTAAAATTAGATTGTGAAATATAAGATATCTGCATCGACCGTCTGACATCTCTGGGTTGGCTAATACCTTCGCTATAAAAAAAATAGTCGCGCCATTAGCCAAGGTTAACATGTTCATATACAGTACTATTATTAGTTACGTCTGTATAACTTCAGCCTTAATATAGATAACGGTATTAAAATTGCAGAAACCAGGTACAGTAATCCTAGTAATATCAATAAACCACTGTGATTCATTCTTTTGTATTTTTGTAAAATTAGGCTTGTGGCAGCCTTTGCCAATATGCTAAAGTGATGCAAATTTTCTCAAGTTATTGTTTATACTGTATAAGGAAAATATCAACATTAATACAAACTGTGAGGATGGATTTGACCGTGTACAATTGGTTCACTGATATATGGCCAGCCAAAATCTCAATAGCACTGACTTTAGTACCGGATAATATTGAAATTAATTATAGATAAACAAAAGAACTGTATCAGTAACTTGGAGCCAGATTTTACTCGTAACTGTGTGTAGGGGCGGGTCTGCCAGGTCATATTGTGGATGGGTGTACTAGAGGTGTGGATGGGTGTTCTAGAGGTGTGAATGGGTGTTCTAGAGGTGTGGATGGGTGTTCTAGAGGTGTGGATGGGTGTTCTAGAGGTGTGGATGGGTGTTCTAGAGGTGTGGATGGGTGTACTAGATGTGTGTGGGTGGCTGTTCTATATGGGTGTTGTATGTGGATGGGGATACTAGAGGTGTGTGGGTAGGGTGAGTGTGGTATGGGTGGTTGTGTGTGGGTGTACTCGAGGTGTGTGGGTGGGTGTATTTACAGTAGGTGTGATGTATGTGGGTGTGCTAAAGGTGTATGAGTGGTTAAACCAGAGTGAGGGAAGGGCTGGGGGGGAGGGGAGGAATAATGCTGTAACCGGACAATACTGGTGCTGGACGCCCACCATAAGCGGACATCTGTCTTGCCTACCCGGCACTACGCTCTCTCTCTCTCTGAAGCAGATATGAAAAAAAACCTATTGAATTAATGAATTTTTTAAACATTGTACATGCACGTAGAAACATTATCAACCATACCCTAGCGTCTGAGATGTACAAGTGTCAAGATGCAGAATTATCGTGATCACGTGACGAAGAAGTCAAGGACGCTGAGTTGCAGAGGGCAGGACATGTTCATTGCATTACGTCTGTCTGTACAATAAGATTAAATTCACTGCTGAAAGGTAGAGTGAGTGAGCACGGGAGTCAGTAATTACAGACGGCTGTTGTTACTGTGGACAAAAATAGAAACGGCTGTATTATTACACTAGATATGGCTGGCGTCTTGTGTCTGGTACCAAGGTCTCCTCACAAAATTCAGACAAGGAATCTACAATGAAAGTCTTACACCTCCTGCATTACTACCTCCAGGGTCGTGAGCAAAGAATAGTCTTGTGTGGAAACTGGTGATGCAACACCTAGACTGAAATGGATACAAACTACAGTACTTAACAGAACCCGCAACACCAGATGGATATTAGGGCCCCCCTCATGTCCAGTGTTAATATAATGTATAGACTACAAGCAAATTCATTTAGGACTGTTGACAAGACCATCTTTCCCTCTGTCCCTGTCATGTCTAGGATAACGTGCCCAATACACCAATGTTGAAGAAATCCTTTAATAACCTTTACTGTCCTGTGAAATTAGGTAAAGTTAGGCTTTAAAATGAGTTGAGGATACGTTAGCTTAGGCTTTAAATGAGTTGGTTAGGATAGGCTTTTAAGATTGAGATTAGATAATAGCTCATATACCCGTAGTTAAAGGCTGGGGATAGTGTCACATGCTTTTCTCTTCCTAGCACTAATGAAAGTAAGGAGTCGTGGTATTGTGCTGTAAAAGATCGAGTAAAAGTGAGTTATTGTCTTAACATTGGTGGGAAGATTCTCACGTGCTCAATTTTTTCTTTGAATGGAAAAAAGGGGTGATGGGTACAGTGAGGACAGTTGTACTCTCTCTCTCTCTTTCATTATTTTCCACTTATTCTGTATAAGAAGTGGATTCAATTTTGGCATACTGCAATATTTCTGAAGTAGGTTTATTTGTTTAAGCCTTAAAGTAAATCATTTAGGATAAGTGGAAAAAATATGCAATTGTTTTAAATATATATAAAACTGAGACATTCTTTAGGGTTTAATTATTCTTCTATATATAAAATAGAGTAGGACTGAATTTCCTTTAGACAAAATACCCTCATGCAAAAATCTAACCTAACCTAACCTAACCGTACATAAAAATGAACATTAATATAAAATGTGGGGAATTTTGTCCAGGTATCAGTTTAGGATTTAGGTGTTCATTAACGTTGAAGTTAATAGTACATTTTTTTTAGGTATATTGCAAATGGTCTTCCTTAGTTGTCTATTATTTCATTATATTTTAACTAATATGAGTAGGTGTTAATTTATTATATTGTTCACCAATGAATTACAGAGTTGCACCCAAAGTGATTATATGAACCTTTATAAACAGCGTGTGAACAAGCTATTTATGGACAAGTATTAACAAGTACATTACGTCAACTGTGATAAATGACCATCTATTATTAGTTCCTTTCCCACCACTCTTACCACATGCCTCAATGAAAGAAAATCACAGTACAGTATATAATTTTTATCATTAGCCATTTCGTTATATACTCCCACTAACAGTATATTATGAGGGTATAACAGTATTTCATTATGATAGACAATGTTCATCTATCATTCTATCTTGTAAAGTTCACATGAAATGTTTTTTTTAAGAGTATCCCAATTATATAATTACGGGGCTCTTAAGATACGGATTGAATGATATGTAGTGATAAACTGACGAGGTGAGGGGGTGTGGGTGATGGTCAGGTGTGGGTGAGGGGGTGTGTGGTGAGGTGTGGGTGAGGGTCAGGTGTGGGTGTGGGTGATGGTCAGGTGGGGTGAGGGTGATGGTCAGGTGTGGGTGAGGGTGTGGGTGATGGGGTGTGGTGATGGTCAGGTGTGGGTGAGGGTGTGGGTGTGGGTGATGGTCAGGTGGGGGTGGGTGATGGTCAGGTGTGGGTGAGGGGTGTGGGTGATGGGGTGTGGTGTGGTCAGGTGTGGGTGAGGGGTGTGGGTGATGGTCAGGTGTGGGTGAGGGTGTGTGGGTGGGGTGGGGTGATGGTCAGGTGTGGGTGATGGTCAGGGTGTGGGTGATGGTCAGGTGTGGGTGAGGGGGTGTGGGTGATGGTCAGGTGTGGGTGAGGGGGTGTGGGTGATGGTCAGGTGTGGGTGTGGGTGAGGGCGGCGCGGCGCATGTAAACAAACAGCCTCAGCTGGTCGATCTCTGGCCTCCTCCTCCACACATCTCTGGCCTCCTCCTCCACACATCTCTGGTCACCTCCTCCTCCACCACACAGAGATGATACCACACCTTACCAAATAATTACCAGCAATGTAATAAGTGGTGATTATATACATTGTAGTTATTAGGGGATTATATTTAGGTTATGGTTGTTGATGTCTGTAGGCAGGTGTTAAAGTGTGCTCTTAGTCTATCTTGTGAATTATATATTGTAGGGTTAGTGTGGTACTCTGAGTGGTTTATGATAATAGTGAATTTGATCAGTGAAGGGGTGATCTCCTTAATAATGCTTGTAACAAAGAAAATTACTAAAATAATCTCGTGTACTGGTTAGAAGTAGAAATGATGTACCAGTTTTAGTGTCCCTGCTCTCTGTTAAAACATTAGGTAAATTTGTAGTTTCTACCAACCACGGCTCTTGAGTTGAGCAGTGTATTTTTTCCAGTAGTTTAGACAATTTTAAGACACTTTTTGTCTGATGTTTCCCTAGCAAATGACAAATATACCTTAGGATCCAGGGGGGCAGAACCCCACCTCTCCCCCCTGATTAGGAGGTTATGTTGGGTCATTTGTGAGGGAAAAATTGTAGAAGAAAGGTCTTAAAATTGTTTAAACTATTGGAAAAAATACACTGCTCAACTCAAGAGCTGTGGTTGGTCGAAACTGCAAATAGACCTAATATTGGGTGGCAGGAGTTTGGGGTAAATATAAGGATCTAGGTGTAGTACAGTATACAGAGTCTTAAAAAACAATTAAAAGACCACGACTTTTATAAGTAATCAGAATTACAAAATAGGACTGAACCTTCTGTAGAGGTGATCATATGGGTAATAGTCCATAGGAGCTTTTGTACCACATTATTAGTAAATTTGCAAGTCACCCAATTTATACTCCTGTATGGGTGGGCAAGGGGCAACTTAACAGAACTTAGTCGAGTGTTCATACCTGGAGATGGTGGATGCCCACCCCATTAGGGGCAACAAGATTAGAAAATGGGGTAATTATTGACGACTGACCCGCGGCCGATTTTTCATAGAAAATGATTATAAAAATTCCGCAATTTCACTGCTTTATAGTGGACACTGTTGTAGTTGTGTATGTGTTAAAAAGTGGTTATTTCTAAATTAAACCTAACCTAACCTAACCTTATTTGATGTGAAAAACAATAGGCAGATGCATTGTTAGAAAACCTAACCAACCTACCTGCCTGGACCCCCTGGCGTCTAATTATCTACCAAACGAAGCATTTGCACAAGAAATGATTATCATATCCGAACTCTGATGAAAATAAAGTAAGAAAATAAACCGTTAAACAAATAACTTGTCCGTGGGTCAGTCGTCAATATTAACCGTAAATGGAAAGGAACCTGGAAGCTCTGGGATAGTTGCAGAAACATCAGGTGGTGTAGGTGTGTCAATGATGACTGGAGGTGGTGTGACTGTGAATGTTGTACTTACAAGGGTAAAGGTGGTAGCACTTGAATGCAGGGGTCTATGAATGGCCTGATTGGCCCAACCTCCTCCCTTGGTCATCACTGACATCCACCACTCCAAGATACACCCATTCAAATACTTCTCATTTTCCCATAACTAATTATTACTTGAAACCTTTGGGTATTGTTTGACTTCTACTCACTTAGGATATTAATTGTTGCCACAGAAAACGGATTCATGTTGAGGTTGTTGTTGATACTCAGTATACACGGATGAATTTTACCGAATAAATTAAGGCCGAGGGCTCGTAACACTCGTCTTGCCCGCGGTGCCCACCATTTCTCTGTGGATGTCGGTCACACGAGAATAACCCGTTATAGTACCTCCTTCTTTCCTCACACAGCCAAACTGTGGAATGCTCTGCCTTCTTCTGTGTTTCCACACTCGTACAATGTCTCGCTTTAAAAAGCTGGTTTTCTGGCATCTTTTGTAGTGTAGATTAATATAACCTTTTCCTTTTCTATTTTTAATTTATTTTTCTTCTTACTTTTTTGTCCCCCAGGCCCCGATGTGGGTCGATGATCTGTGCCCGGGTAGGCTATTCCCCCATAAAAACAAAATAAAATAAATACCGTAATTAAATATATCAAGTGGTACCCCTTAACCTTCGTTATTTTCCATGTTGCTACAGTACAGTAGTTCCTGTGCTGTCTTTGATAGGTCATATTCGTGAATGTTATTAATACATTAGTAAACACCTTACTGGTTGATTATATGAATAGAATTTTAGCCTTTAGGAGTGTTACATATATGTTGTCTAGTGAATTTTCAGATCTGCCACAGAGGTACCAGTAATTTCTGGTATAGATATATCTGTAGTTCTGTTGACAGTTCAGTATTAAGTTAGCCATGAAATATTTACTCATGGCAGTTGACATTTTAGAACAAAACTATTATTTCAAACCGTAATACTGTACTATACTTTTATTCTAATACTACTGGTATACTGTACATTATTAAAGAAGCATCATGTTTAATTGTAATATTGTACCTAGGTCTCCAGTTTGGGGGAAATCATTTAATATGTTTAATTTTTTTATATTCAAGTGAACTGTTCAGTATACAGTAATTATTATAAGGCACAGATTTGTTGTCTGTAGCTCATGAGCAATCCACTTACTGTACAGTTTGTATTGGTGTTACTGTATATACGTGTACCAGGTCCTGTAGATGTATTGCCAAATCCTCAGTAACTGTTTGTTTGGTTCATATTATATGGAATGTTATGTGCTATACAGTACAGTATATTAAGATTTTCAAGCTTAGAGAAAATCTTCATCTGAAACCATATTGGTAAGAGGATATTGAAGTTATCTATTCTGTTAGTACAGTAGCTGTGCAGTTCTAGGAGACCTTTCTTGGTCCTGATCCAGAAGTTTGTGTACAGTACATGAGAAAGTTGTGAAGTGTAATACAGAAGCAAGTACCTCTACTCTGCTGCTCAGTTTACATACAGCAGAATTGCCAAATGACCTTCTCATAAATTCTTGTAAATTGTCTGTCTGACCTTCATGTCCAAGAAAATACTAAAAACAGAGAGAGATTTTCTTGTAGTAAACTATGCGAGTAATTACATGTATTAAGAAACATCTCTTATTTACAGGCAAGGCTCACAAGTCATGGATATCACAGGATGTGTTTGTGGTCGAGCTACGGGAGTTGTTGGCTCTGTGAATGATGTTGGCGTTGGTGCCTCCTGGCTGGAAGAGAATGGAGCATCAACACCGTCTTCACTTTCTACAAGTCTCTTAACAAAGAACAAACCTTTCCCAATTAGAGGTGTGTATTGATTTAATTTTTAGGGCATGTTAAATCTCTCTCTCTCTCTCTCATATACCCGTACGTACGTACATACATACATACATACAGGTAGTTCTGCTATAACGCGATAATTGTGTTCTTGTAAAATATCGTGTTATAGAAAATCGCGTAATAGAAATAACAGGGCTTATGGAGAAAATAGGGTTAGGTGCAGATTACTCGAAATCGAAAAAATTTCGTAGTTAGCCTAACACAAGGATAGCACAGTCTAAATAAATGTTACATTCATATCTAATAATGAAATCATACAGTAAATGTAACACTTTACCCTGAAAAAATATGAATGTAACTTGATGGGGGAGAAGGGTGATTTTGAGGTTGATAAAATCGAGCTTCTCTTCAAGTGTTATATCCTTTCTTTTACGATCATCACCGGGAATTCTATCACCAGAACGCTTCTTGGAGATATTCTTCTTTACCATATTCACAGTTAATACCACAAAATTGGAGAAATAGAAAGCAAAAATCGCGTTATAGCAAACAAGCGTTCGCGTTATACAAATATCGTTCCTAATTCAAAAATCGCGTTAGAGCAAATTCGCGTTATCAAAACACGCGTTATAGCAGAACTCACTGTACATACATACATACATCCCCCGATCCTGTTGTGGTTGGTGACCTGTGCCCAGGCGAGCTTTTTCCCATTTAAAAAAAAATGGGTCATGGCTGTGGTAGATTGTGCTACATTGACGTTTATTTTTTTTTTCAATTGCAAGGAGAAATTAAAGGTACAGTGTCACGATAATTTTGAAGCGCTCGTTCAGGTATTCTGGGATCTAGTGGTTTACTTATCCAGTTCTCAGAAAGGAACTACAGCACTGTATTATTTAATTGTGGGAAGAATAGTATTATCCACTTATTGTTGATCTGTACTGTACGAGATATTTGGCATACCTCTCCCCTTACCTGCTCAGTACAGTATCAGTTATGTCAGGTGAGGTGCCTGTTACTGCTGAATGGACAATATTGAGAGAGTGATAAGGTACAGCACTCGCCAAATGGGAAGATAAAAGTGGAGTTGGAACACATGAAAGTGCTTGATCTGATAAGTGTTGCCATAACTTAAACTTGACCTTAGTATCATGAGATTCATTTGGTTTAAAGAACACTTGATTATTCAAAACTTATGGCCAAGGAAACCAGAATTATTTTGTAAATTGTTCAGTTGGGAAACGTTGCGGGAGGTTGTGGATTATTTACCGTACAGTTACCAATAGTTGTATCCTGTAGTAACATCTGGCAGACAGGTGACAGCTTTGGTACTCACTCCAGGTGGTGTTTATTCTCACCAGTATCTGAGTCTCCATGAATTAGGACAGTACTGGTTGGCTGCTTCTCTTATATCATGTCAACCTGATATAAAAACACTTCATCCTGTCTGTGAGTGAAAGGAACTGGACTTGATACACTTCTTTCACTTCAATAAGGTTGTTCTACTGTATACGGCAAAGAGAAGAAACCGTTCCTTAAACTGCCGTAACTTGAACATGATTCGACACAGGCGATTAAGTTGTCGATTTACTGATGACGGTGAGTTGATCAAAGGAGAACTTCACAAGTCAATGGCTATAAAATAAGATCTATTTTAGGATATTTTGTATTAATTTTATGAACTTTTCAGTGACATTAGGAAAACAATACAGTGCAGTATAAGTACTTTAGTATTTATATTACAAGTACAATAGTGATGTAATTTTATGTACAGTATTTGTGACTACTAAAACCAATCTGGTCTCTCTTTGTATGTGTAATTTGTTCATAATATTTCAAGCTTTAGTTTATTAGGAACACTTTTTGTGGTACAGTAAGCTTTACTTAATTAGGAACTCTTAATTTATTTTCACGTACGACCAGGAGAGCGAGCCAATTATGTGAACATCCCTCACGTTATTGTGATGGTCGGTCTGCCAGCTAGAGGGAAGACCTACATGGCTAAGAAGCTCACACGATACCTCAACTGGATTGGCATCAAGACAAAGGGTAAGAATGAGTGTCACTTGGCTGTTAAGTGCTTCTCTTGTTTTGGGTAGTGAAATGTTAACAGTTGTGTTTGATGAGTTCTGTCACAGGAATTATTAGAGACGACCACATGAGCCTTGATCGTTATGGTAACAACAGTAGTTTGACGTCCCACTGAGAATGTAGATTGTGGCGTGTTTTTACTCTCGCAGGACAACCAGCTTCTGTACACACACACACACATTTGCATGTTAAGCCACAGCACTAATGGAGATCAAAATAAGAATTCTAGTTAACATTACAGTTTGTTAGGTCTCAGTCCTTGTTAAAAATGAGTTTGGGCCAACTGTCGGCTTCAGAGGTTCATAAATACCCGTACAGTAGTTGTTGGTTTCTGCTGCTTCATCGGATTCATTACCCAAATCTGACCTTGACTCTACATAGTTTCACAGGCATAAGTTCAATGAATAATCTGAAGGTGTATTTTGCATCTCCACCTTTGGACCTTCACTCAGCCTTGTGTTCTGTCGAGTGTGGTGATACATTTTGATGATCATTGGTTATTTTTTCTTCATTGCAGTGTTTAACTTGGGTGAGTACCGGCGGCGAGTGACTCAAAAGTACAAGAATCATAACTTTTTCCGGAGTGACAATGAAGAAGCGATGGCTCTTCGGCAGCGTTGTGCAATGGACGCCCTGGAGGATGTCTGTGAATGGCTTGATAACGAAGGGGGAGAAGTAGCAGTGAGTACTGACTGATCAATAAGTACATTTTACCATTACATAATTGCCAAGTTCCACGGCAAAGTGTTTTCCTGTACCTGTACCACAGTTATAAGTTTCATCTATTTCTTTGCAAGTTTCATTTTTTTCATTGACCTCTTTTTAAACCGTTTTATTTTCTACTGTATAATTCAATACTTGACATTTTTTTCTTGCTGGAATAATTATTGTAGGCAACATTCAGAGATGAACCATGGAATGTGGCTTTTGAATTCTTGTTTCTTCTCTGATTTTACCCAAACGGTTATAGGTCTAGTTTTTATTCCTGATCATGCAAAAAGCTGAAATCCCCTTGATCTTTTCCTCACTTCACGGCTGAAACCTTTTTCTGATCTAAAACTTTATCCAATTGGTAAATCAGGTCATTTTATACCTGTCTCTTGCTCTCTTAACACCTGCTCCAACTAAACTCCCTCAAGTATGACTCCTCAACCTTGCTTTTTGGTATAATCTCTGTGAAGTGTATATTTCCTTTCCTTGGAGTGGATAAGTGTTGAGAGCTTGGGATACATCTATCTGTACTTTTTACTTGGTGCAGATAATAACAGTGGGCTTGGAGACATACTGTAGTACATTACTTCTCATTAACCCTTTAGGTGCATAATTAAATTTCGCGCCGGTTCCTGAAAAGTGTCAATTATCCTGCCAAAAATGAATTTCATATAATCACATTTTCTATGTTTTTCCTAGAGAACTTTTAGTATATTTTCCAAATCTGGAACAAAAATTCACATATGTGTGCAAATTTTAGAGAAAAAATGACATTTATACCCAAAAATGCAGGAAATTGGTATAAATCAATGTCTGGTATATGGCAAATAAATTTAATCAATTTGGTTACTAAACAGCAAATTTAGATATGTATTACATATTCAGATAATATCAAACAAAATAGTACAAAAATAAGCTATATTGCATTCAGGAAATACTCCTATACCTCAATACATAATATGTCCGCATGTCGTCTCATTTGGGGAAGTTTTTTCAAGGCCGTGGGATATCCCCGCTTGTCGCATTTAATTAATATAATATTTTGGGCGGGTTTACCCGCATGTCGCATCCAAAGGGTTAATGTATACTGTACTATGACCTGTTGTCACGTGTATGGCTGTTATATTAAGTTGTGGTAAGAATCTTTCATGTCCAATTGTCCCCATCTACACAATAGGAGACATGTGTATTGTGGTCACGTGAATAGAACACTCTTTTATCTGATCCAACAATTACCCATTTGAATCTTGCACCCAGCCACTGAATGGAACACCCCAGCAGCTCACCCACTTGTAAAATAGGTCTCAGAATTCATACTTTGGGAAATGAAAGACAATAGAGTGTAGTGCCTGGTCATGCTGTACCAGAGGCTTGGTATTCGGTAATGCTGTCTCCACACTTCCCCCAATGGGTCCATCGGGTCTCTGGGATCCACTTTCATACGTAGTTGAAGAGAATCTGGAACAGCTGTGTGTTTTTGTGTGGGAGTTTATGTTGTGAATGTGATTTCTTGGGAACTTTGCATTGCTCTGGGCACTAAACACACTACTGTCTAATGTGAGCCTCTTAGACGAATTTAATAATTAATGTTTTCTCTCCTTGCCAGTACATATTCAGTGTTGTCAAGACAGTAACTCAATATCAATGGACATAGCAAAAGATGTCTAATTAGGTGGATAATCAATATTTTCCTCTTTATTATTTCATTAGTGGATCGTGTTTTAATTTTGTCAAGGTCTAACCAAGTTTATTTTCTTTTGCATCAGAGACATAATTTCACTGCAAACAAATTGTTTTTTAAGTGAGATTTAGCACGTGCTTTTCTTTGTCTGTTTTGATCAGTAAAATGAACTTCCCTCAGTTTTAACTTTTATTTACATTTAATATGTTTGTTTATTCATTTGCCATCATTCTATTGACATCGTATTGACTTCACTACACTACAGTTCCCAGCCGTGTCAGGGAAGTACCTCGGCAAAACATTACATAACCTCATCAAGTTTGGCAGTAAATTTGTGTTTTTATCAGTACCAGCTGCTCTTTATGCTGCTTTCCCACTAATATTTATTCACTGACAGAGAGGAATTGATTTATCTTAATGTATTGCTATAACCTGTTTAAATTACCAAGAACAGGCTCTCCCCCAAATGTGCGGGGTTAGGTTCTCAAATGTCTGTGAATTGCCAAATCCTAATAAAAATTTGCTGATGGGGGGTACATTTTTACTTGTGTACAAAGAAATGTATATTCCCTTTGTGTCTGCCCTTAGGACATTTATTTCTTTTACCTGTAGTATTGTATATAGACACACACACAAAACACACATAAATAAATAATAATTGGAAAATCCTCTCTCGGATAATCAGAAACAAATTTATTAAAAATGTGACAGTCTACCCTCAGTTTCGTGCTCTATTACAGTACTTTATTAATAGAGCAAGGACTTGAGGGTAGACTCACATTTTTAATAAATTTGTTTGATTATATGCGAGACGATTTTCCAATTATTATTTATTTCACACACACACACACACATATTTACAATACAGGTAAAGGAAATTACTGTCTAGAACGAATGGCTACCTGTCCCAGCCGCGAAAACTCCGGCAACTTTAAAATTACCCACAGACATTCTTGATTACATCCAGGGTATCATCCGCAAATACCCGAGAACCACCAAGTAAAGATCTGAGAACTTGGTGGGCATACTGTAGTAATATGACTCAATTAAATTGAACTGATATGAATTATCAAAGTTTGTTTCAAAATAATCCGACGAATCTGACACTGTATCTGCTGATTACTATGGTGGGAGAGTCATATAAACCAGATCACACCAGTCAGGCTGCCAGGTGACATGCCAGATGGTATTCTTTGTCAAGAATCTGTCTGACCAAGGAGTTCACATTCTTTATATCCAACTAAGCTGGTTCACTAGTAGTTACAAATAGTTTGATGTTGTTTAGAATGGGAGTGTATATACTGTACCACTATAGGAGTTGTTTCCCAGAGAATGTTTCATTAATTACACCTAACCTGATCACACTGAATATTTGTCACTGCATTATTATTGAAGTGATTTAAGCTATAAATGCAATTTTGTTTACAGGTTTTTGACGCTACAAACACAACGATGGTTCGCCGTAAACTGATCTATGAGAAGGTTGTGGTGGAGATGGACTACAAACTGTTCTACGTGGAGTCAATCTGCGACGATCCATCCATCATTGAGTCAAACATTCGGGTAAGACTGCTATCATGTGTTGGAGACGGCCTTAAGTGTGACTAAAGTAGATAATGTATGTTTCTTAGAGAGTACTGTAGCAGGTAATGGGTCAACTTAACAATTGTCCGCTGCCCTCCCTTGATGGAGCCACGAGTACACTAAACCTTCTTTCATCTGTCTATCCATCCAAGGGTTATGTACGTGATAACTTGAATAATTAATTATGTATTTAACTGCCGAATGGTTTGACAATTAGGTGATGTCACGTCTTAAGAGTGAGAGAAACCCACAACGTTGATGCAATCAATATTTATTGGTCGATGTGGTCAAAACCTGTAAAGAACGAGACACTTGTTAACTACTGATTACATTCTATTACATGTATACATTATACGTCAGTTAGTAAATACATTATTCTGTATGGTTATTATCCAAGTGCTTTACACTATGCACTTGTGTAGTTCCCAACATTTCACCGTAATGCAAACGGTCGCTGTGTTCTTTCACTCACGTATGTGGGCTTATAGCTCCATTTAACTCCTAGTATCGTTCCAAGTAACTCCTGGTTACAGCTTGTGTGTGTACACGCAAAGGGTCTGGCCGATACTGGTCAGTGCTAACTAAAGGTACTCGAGCAACCAATACCCCCACACATCTGGCCAGGTCACAGGTCGAGGACCTGCCATATGTTATCGTCTAGGGCCGAGACAATGGCTCCATCATCTCCTCGCTTAGTAAACAACAACACTTTCTCATTACTCTTAACACCCTCCCATAATTGCAATAACACTGCGTGAGGGCGGCGATAACAACGTATTTTAACCAAATGTGGTGTGTCGGGTACCATTATAGATGTTCATTGTACTGTATTCTATTTTTGTGCATAGGAGGGCCAATTAGGTACAGTAATCCTTAGCTGGCGATTAAGAGTTAATTGAATGTTGTTCACTATGGTCAGGGCAGAGCTGGTAACATGCATAACTAACCCAGATCACTTGGGAAGATATCACCATAAAAAAAAAAAAGCATGAGAAGAGATTAAAGATGTGAGTGGAGCTTGATATTTGTATTTGTTTTGATGTGGGTCTAGTATAAAACTTAGAGGAGACATTATATAATACTTTTGGGGGGACGTGACACGGGCATAATGGGGACTATAATACCGAGCTCTAGGTGTGATTATAGTAGGATTTTAATTGGACTTGAGTCGGTTATCCTGTAGTTTATTAAGTTACTAAGTTTATCATTATATTATGTTCAGTGTGGTGATTAAGTTAAAGACCTTCTTGGTAAAAATTTTCATTTCCACATGATACAGTACAGCTGTTTCTTTAATTAGGTTCTTATTATATATACAAAGTCTTGGTGTTGATTGGTGAAAGTCTAAACTGTAAATGCATTATTAACCCCTTGTGTGTGGGGTCCCCTCTTGAGCTGAATAAAATAATCTTGCATTAGCCAAATAAAATACTGTTAGTGGCGTCCCCGTAGTGAAGGGGTCAGTCGGCATAACTTAACATTGAAGTACTATATGTTATTATAAGTTAATTTTATCACTTCACCAGCATATTATGGCAGGCATTTGGTCTGTTTTGTGTTACTGTGTTGTGAACTAACAGTGACTTATTGTAGACCGTTGAGCATTAGTTGCCTTGTATTAGGTTGTAGAAGCTCTTAACAACCAAGTGCATTGGTTATTACTGTATGCATTTATTGTTAAGTGTGATTTTAGTCTGTAATTCGTCCTGTGAAATACAAAATATTTAGCATTAATATAGTGAGTAGTGTATAAGCTCCAAGTTTCTGTCCTGTAGTTGACATTTCCGCTGCGCCACGATTATTCATTGAACCTCATGCTGTAGCCTGTACTACCACAGAAGCTTAGGTTCATCCCAGTGTTGGTTATATATTACGCTCCTTTCTCTGTATATTTTATTATTATTTATTCTTTTTCTTCTACTTTCATTGGTGCATATGAAGATTTGTCAAGTATATGAATGAGCTAAGGTAATTTCTCTGTTTACACACTTGTATCTAAAATATTTTATCCATTCTTTACCTAAATTTCATAGCTGGTCTTCCTTGGCACCGGTGGGTATCTTATTTTGGTCATTATTAGACAGAGGGCAAGGTTATAGGTCAGCCATGAAGGTCATCACCCCTCACTAGGATGCATCTATAATTAATTGTCACAGTTTAAAGGGAATGACCACATTGATTACACTGTTGTACCAGGTATTGTTCAGTGATCTACTCTCTTGTATCTGACCAGGACGGTTTAAAGTTGTCTTAGCTGTTGTGGGTAGATGACGTGCTATTAGCCAAGGCACAGTGAGTTAAGCAGAGGGGGTAGATAATTATTTGGTGAAGGTGTACTGGATGATGATGTTATACTTTAAAAGAATGCCCATACTTAATCGTGATTGTCAGGACCAAATCATTACCGGGTATGATGAAATATAAAACGCAAAACAGATGAAGATTTAATGTGGTTAATGACATCCAAAAGCATCGTTCAAGATTAATGACGCTGATGGATTTGAGTCGCATCACGATCTTTTGTTTTTGTTTACTCTTTAAAATATCTGATGAAAAGATAATTGAAAAGTCATCCATCATCCTCCTCATCTTCTAACCATTTTCCAAGTGTGTTTGTTAGCCATGGTTAACTGATGAGGTAAGGTGTACTAGAGGTTCCACTGATTATAAAGTCGTGACTCTGGCCGTGTGATCTGGTGCACTGTGGCGCCGTGTGTTAAAACTGACCCATTATGTTAGTTTACAGGACAGCATCTAGTTTGGTATTTTATTATTTGTCTAGATTGTATTTTGAAGTTATTAATCTTTATTTAATTTTCAGGAAAGTTTAATGATTAACTGGATTAATTGAGTGTACTGGTAAAAGGCATCTGGCCAATGGATCCAAATCTTAATTTTCTCGTTGGGTTCAGTATTAGTACGGGACCCAGAGAAAACCTGCAATAATTGGTAGGGTCAGACTGCATAATCAGTTATTGTACACATTCACACATACTCACTCCCTCTACTCTCTCTCACTCATTCACTCTCTCAAATAAACACATTCTCATCATTCAGGCCTCTTGATGTTGGTTGAGGGGTTAAGGTTACCAAGTTAGAATTTCATCTGCCTCTGGTTATGTCACTTTCCAAACCCAGGTCCATAAGGCTGCTGTTGGCTCACTTCTTTAGCCTGTATCTGTGTGGTTGACTCAAAATGTCAATATTAACACTGTCATCTGTTTTTAGTGGTTATGCTGGCACGACCTGGCAAAGTGATTGACAAACTCTTGATTGAAAGCTTCATTCTTCCTTAGGAGTGAAGTTGGACTTGATTTGTTCACAGAATTGCCTTCAGTAACGTTTTATATTCAATCTTCAGTTCTCTACCACTCATTCACCTAGATACTCTTCCTCCCTCCCTCCCCCCCCTGTACTTGTCTTGTCATGTTTCCTTGAATATGATGAGAAATAATCCCATACACTGTAAATACATTTATTCTTATTTAAGGGTTCACAGGGGGTCCATCTCAAATCACTTAATTTAAGCACAAAGAAGAAATTGAATAACAAAATACAGTAAAGGAAAGTAAAAATTAAAGTTTAACGCTTACATTGAAACCTGGGGCTGGCTGGTCTTCCACCCATATCACTAACAATCTTTCCATTTCAGTTAACAATTCACTTCTTTATTTTATCAAAGTTGAGTACATTGGTGTAGATCCTTTTACATGTTCAAGAATTATGCGTTTGTCTTTAAAAATTGTTCCGATTGTTGACCGACTGAAACCCAATGTTTTACCAATGAATGACTGAGGGTGTTTTGCCTTTTTCAGAACCATTACGTCAACATTCGCTTCCATTGTAATTATTTTCCTTTTCTTGGGTGCACTACTATCCCTTGCATCAGGTTTGCATTTAGGAGCCATGAAGAGGGACAGAAAATTTGAATTAATCAGTAAATAACAACAGTTTGTACTTGGCTGGGTGACGCATTACTCCCCACCCACCACTCTGTCTCGCTGCTACGCCATGCAAAGTAGTTCTCGTACATTAATGCTACGAACCAGTTGTACCTATGTCGGATTTTTTTAATAATTGACCTCATGAGACCTTGTTCGTATCGGCGGGTGTTCGTAAGTCGGATGTTCATAACTCGGGGACCCTCTGTATGTATAAGCAGCAAATGTTATCCGAGACCATTTTGAGAACCTAACCCCCGCAAATTTGAAGGGCATGCTATATTGTAGTCGCCAGACTTGTTTATGTGTTTTTCCTGCCATGACACCGTTGCATCAATCCCACCCGGCGCACTGTAGTAGGAATACGTTGCGTTCTTGTAACTTCATCATCTGTTGCAAATTACCACTATCCAGGTACTTATCCAACCATCTGAAGGGGTAGGAGTCGTTGAGTACTCCTAGCTGCTCATGAATGAACTTGTGTATGGCACAGAGACGATGGGGAACTTGTTCGCAGTGTCAGTACGGTTAATACTCCCGTCTACACTAATGATGCCTACAGTGTGTCTCGAACCTTGTCATCCACTGAGTAAGTGATCTGGTGTTAGGGCTGTCTTGGATGTCTGTCTTGCAGTTTTTACAAGGCATCATTAAACACCCAGTTTTTTTGTCCTTCTCACCCGTAAACTAGATCACACCGCACAACTCCTCATGTTTATACTGCTATTGGGGAGTTATAACATAAAGGTGCAGACTTGGGTGACAGTGTTCTACCTGTCCTGACCCACAGTGTTGAACGTGAGAAGTCTTTTTTTACCTCTTGAAATTGTCTTAAAGTAGAGTAAGTACTTTACCATTATTTGCATGTTTGACCCCCCCACCCCCCACCCACATTTTGGATTGTATTCTTAATATTTAATCTTCTGTAAATGTCTATTTTCATTGAAATTAGTGATAACCACCAGCCCAGTATATTAACCTTAAACAAAAGGTCATTGTAGAACTTGTATAGTTACTGATATTAGTGTAAATTAGAATGAGTTGTATGAGATGTGAATTACAGTAAGCAGTTAGCAAGTGAATGTCTGGTTGTGAGGGTTCTATGATCCCCACACAGTTCATGTCTTCTTCATAAGTACCTGACTACTGTACACCTTCAGCATTCCCTCAGCTTAAACATCTACGTGTGATTTAATCCTCCAAACTTTACATTGTAACTCCTCAACTGTCATCATCATCATTATTGTACTTTCATTAGCCATTGCAACAGTGTGTAGAGCTTTTGTTTGTCTTTTTCTGTATTTTATGAATGTTTCACTTGTGGGAAGACATCATGGAGTGGACTCTATAACTTGGGGTCTTTTTCAAGTAAGATCCTGATCAACAATACAGGAGTCTAGCACAGTGGGTTTACATAATCATTGGTGGTATATTCAAGGTGGTCAAGTACTGGGAATATCATATGACGTGTCCAGTCTTTGATCCTGTAACACCAACTCTTATCTTATTAAATAGTAAAATAAACTTCTCCATAATATCTCACTGTACTGGAGTCATGTACGCTGTTGGTCATGTTTTTGGAAAAATTGTCATACTCGACTTGATGTTTTCTCTTAAAGTATTGTGATTAGATTTGCATGATTCCTCCCTTGTGATGGTTTGTCTCAAGGGGAGACAAAGGGAATGTTATGCCTGATTTCTGTTCATTCTTGTCCATGTATATTTTAGTTACTTATTTGTGGTTCAACTTTCATTCTCATTTATTGATTTGGGCTGTCATGTAAGTTAGCTGCTTTTTGTTCTTATATAATTACTGTAGTATAGATGAAGAAATACATTGGAATTTGCATGAAGTGTTGCCATTGATTCTGTCTTTGTGTGGAAACTGTTGGTGGGCAAAATGATTTTCAATTTTGGACAAAGTTCTTCATGGGTCAGTAAAATAATTGGTTGATTAACCTTACCAATGTCATACCTCCTCCTCCTCCTCATATAATGTATATACTGTAGGCTCCTCTGACATGATCCCATGATTTAGAATGAATGTTTATGGCACTTGACTTTTTATTTTATTTTACTAGATTGATGTAAATATGGAACCGTTACTTTAGTTAAACTTACATGTACAGGTTGTGAAGATCAACGGGCCCGACTACCTCAAGTCGACCCCAGTTAATTGTAACACTCCAGGGCATCCTTGCTTTCAAGTTTGTATCCACAGTCTTTACTTTGCATTTTAACAGTTATAGTAGCTTTTAACTTGATACATATATAAATGAGCTTGATTTTCCTTCTTTATAGACCATTGTTGTTTGTGCTTTATCATGATAAATCACAGTACTGTGAATAATATAACTCGGGGTACCATAACAACGTAGTGATACTCAATATTATTAGTCCATGGAATGCAGGCATGAACCTTTGGATGAGCAGTCTTTGCTCTGGTGTGTGCAGAGCTACATTAGTGTCAAGGCCCTGAACTGGTTAACCCTGCTTGGTTAGAAAGTATTACCCTTGAAATGTTTGAGGTGGTTTTAAGTATATATTTTGTTTTGCTTCGGTTTATAATAAAAAAAAGTCACTTAACTTTAGATACAGTGGATGTAAAATCTAAATGACCATAAAAAGTGTTAACTGAAAATGCTGCCAACCTTCTAAAAGACAAACATTGCATTGGTGTTTGAAGGAGAGGAAGTCTTTTGTCTTTTGTAACTTCTGGGGCTTTTGGTTATCCATGGTAAAAGTAAAGGGATACTTCAAAACATACACGATACTACTTCTTCTCTTCTCCCCCTTCTTCTCTTCTCCTCCTCCTCTTCTTTTCCTTTTTTCTCCTCTCCTCCCCCCCTTTCCTCTCCCTTACTACACCTCTTATCCTCTTCTCCACTCCTCCTCCTCTTGCTCTCCTCCTCCTCTCACTGTTTGGTTTCATGTCAGCCCTTCCATCACTGCTTTCTTACCTGAAAACTTTGACTCTGCTCTTAGCTTCAGTCAGTCATGTCATCCTGGAATCCTTAACTTCACTCTTGACAGCTTCAGCCATCATCCTGGAAAACCTTCACTTCACTCTTAGCTTCAGCCAATCATGTCCCAATTCTCTTAATTATTCCTAAAGCTTTTAACATGGTACTGCACCAGACTAACCTTGACAAAGTTCATTCATATGTTACTTTGATATTTTATTTTAACTTGGTGGATCTTTTCTCTCTCTCTCCAGCTGTCTCATCCATGCCGTAGTGGACAGATGGAGTACCTCAGGGCTCCGTTCTTGCTCTTTTTCTTCGTCATTACTTCGCTAGATGTGTTAAACTGCACAGAAAGATTACCCTACTAATATAATGTAATGACTTTATCAAATTAAAGTCTATTGGCAAGTCATCTAGCCACTCCACTGCCTTAAACACACATCTTCATTCCATTAACACAGTCTGGCACAAATTACTCAGGTACTGTACACACACACTCGAAAGTATCTACGATTTTGTGCTTGGCAACATGACACAATAGTTGAAGGATTTTGACAACCTTACCAAGACAACAGGAGTCTTAGTGGTGTTCATTTTGAAATTTATTTGACTTACCCGCAAAGATACTTTTTGGAGTGTGTGTGTGTACATACATTCAGTGCAACCTAAACACAGTAAATATTTCCATTGTATCAGCCACCAATGTTACTTATCTTGGACTTATCATAACGTGTAACACCTTATGGAACCATACCCCAACAAATTTGGGTACAGTATGTGACCGCCTCATATCACTAACTAAACATATATTTTTACATTTCATCCATAGTACACTAGAAATACCAAGGTATGGATATACTGTACTGTTGGTCTCTTTATCTGTAGCACTTCCTTAAAGAGGACTCGCCAACATGTGGACACTGTACATCCCCTAATCTACCACAGTTCTAGAAAAATAAATGAACCAAAGTGACGGATGAGTTAGATTTTAAGGTTTATGATGTATTTTTATATTTCTGATGCATAATGCTTCATCAGTTTCATAATTGGGTATTATTTTAGTGTGTGGCAGCAAGCATGACCCGAGTGGTGGTGTTTTAATGAGGGGGTTCTGGTGTGGGAGGCAGGTATGTACACTTCACTTCTCCCATGTAGTGAATAGCAGTTGATTCAGTATTTAACATAGACTGAATTGAATTGGATTTGTAGCATCTTGGAGAAATCTTTAGAACGTATTTTAAATTGGGAGTTGGTAATTTTGAACTGGGTAGTCTGTGCCTTATGCTCCATTACCGAACCAAGTTGCTTCGTCGTGATACTCCCCGATTAAGGTTTATGTTGGCTCGGTTGTATACATCTTTTAATCATTTGGGTTAACCTTTATTTTGATCCCTGTCTTTGTATTCGGGTAGGTAAGTTGTCCTGTTGGAAGGTGAGCCCCTCGGAGTGAATCTAGTAGATAATGTACCTGTCTCCCAAACATTATACAGGACTGTTGACCATCTACCCTTACCTCTCCTACATCACCACACCTCACCAAGAGTCATGAATGCAAGATCTTTCCAGTGAGGTACAAATGATTACTGTGGCTTTATGTATTGTATATGTGGAAGTATTGGCAGTGGACAGACTTGTGGGATTCAGCCTCTCGTACTGATTGTCAAGAAAATATTCCGCCCAATAAGGAATGTGGAGTTTGTATTGAAATGTAATCCGGGATCCATTGGTACACGTCCCCAGTTTGTATGTATGGAGTCATTGTCAGCAGTGTGTAGCAACATAGATATGCGTTATAATTATTGTAGATTATGGCTGGTCTTGATAGAGATTGATTGGTTTATACAGTGTGTTTTATATATTATTAAATCTTCCAAGAAAAATCATGAAATGGTTGTTTAAAGATTTTGGAAGATACAAATGATTATGATAAACAAATCTTCATACTGTACACCCAAACATTCAAGATCAATAATTATTAATGAACCGAGAGCCAACACAGTTCTTTATATATCTTTATTCCTCAACTTCTGTAATCACATCAGCAAATTGGTGTCAGTCTTGTAGTTGTGACACCAGCACCTTCGAATGTTCAAAGATGCTTAATGGTTGATGGACTTTGATAAATAGCACCATAGCATTTGTGTTATAGTTGAATAAAAAAAACTATTCTGGATGAAATTATAAGTTATCCAGCTTAATATTTAAAACGTTTTCAAAATTCCGGGGGTATATGGTAAGACCAATGACCTGTGAGAGGCATCACCAATAAGCTTTGCCTGGTAGAGTCTGCCATTGCCTGAGAGCCTCTGTTTCTCAGCAGTAAGATAAATAATCCTGGAACAATGTTTATGGTACTGTAAGCAGCCTTCTTACCTTGCCCAGATGTCAGTTTGAACCACAGACCACCCCGACCTCAAGGGTTCACACTAACTTTTATCACTCCTCTCCAAGGTGTCAGTACATACCTTCCCAGGTCACAGGTGGACTAACTGGGGAGAAGTATTGTAATTATGCTTTATATTATATATGTATAATTGTATATTTTATGGTGTATGTTTTGGCTAATACCACACAGTCTGTATGGCCATTGATGTTCAGGTATTTAAGGTGAGTAGTGTTTAAGGAGCACAGTACAGGTAGTTGTCTTTTTGTACTTATCATTGTGAACGTTTCGGCTTCTTTGTTTTGTATTGTATGACCTCGGTGAATTACTGAGGACAGCTGATTCAGTGGGACTGTGTCTTTCCTCACACAAAGGGTCTTAAGTGATTCCTATACATTGAAAAGGACCTAACATTTTTGTACATAGAAATAGTATGATTTTGTGTTTTATATGATCTTGTAGTTAAACATTGTGATGAACAAAAATTAGGAACATTTTTATAATACCTGTACAGCTTTATTTGCTAATGTAATTAATATGATAATATTTATGCCTTATTCAAATGCAGTATATTATTCTTTACAGTATGATCAATATCTTCATGTACAGTCACGGACAAAAGTTCACTTCCCTTGGTGAAACAGTCACAGGAATGAGTCTGTACTCACCCTGACGGTCGAGTGTGGTTGTGCCGTTCAATCTCCTTTGGGGTCGATGTTGCTTCATTTTGGGAGGGGGCAAACTTTTCACCCTGACAACCTCGTGCATCTGTAGTGACAAAAGTCCAATACCTTAACACACTTGCATAAAATTAGTCATTGTGGAGATCTGTTTGACAGTAGTCTAGTCCCCTTTTAGCTGTAGTAAGTGTTGATTGTCTCTCATTGGGGCTAATTTTCACGATGAACACCAAGACATAAACTTGGCTAGTAATTTAAACCCCTCGTGTAAATAATTACTACGTCATAAATGCCTCTCATATTATTCCTCTACCAGCCACACGGTCATTAACCTGTATATTTTTCCCTTCTTTCTTCCTCTTTTTCCTGTTCTTTTTCTTTCCTTCTCTTAACTTTTTTCCTACTTTCTTTCCTTCCTTCCCTCCTTTCTTTTTCTTTTTACCATTTGATGATTATTTTTTTGGCTAATAATTGACGCCCATTATCAGTCATTAAACCTGTTGGCATCACTCTGGGCAGAACCTTACCTTGAAGGAGTCCTTTATATCTCCTCGCACTCACTACTGTCTTGTCCTAGCCTTCCAAGAATCACTCGCCCTTTGAATCACCTGAAGAATCTCCACCCCAGCTTAATTCACCTAAAGATGATCCACCCTTATCCTATTTATTGGGGGAGGGGGATAGATTAGGTTAGCATTAGGGTGGTTAATCTTATTGTAATACCCAACATTTTCTTCATATCTTCACAATCTCATCCTGGTCGTTTTTGTAGTCCGAGTACTGCCGGTCGGAGTCAACTAGGCCAATATTAGCTGTCAAATATATCATCTACCGGGGCTTCTTGTCTCTAGGGAAACAGAAATTTGCTAACTTGGTGTGCTGTTTTCCCATTCTCTCCCTCTCTTGTATTTTTAACTTTAAGTTTACTGTACTGTACCATATTTTTTGTTTGGTTCCTCCTCCTCCTCCTGTCTTGTTTGCTCATATTTCAATGCAAGCAATTGGTGTCTGGAGTACTGTTCTTAGCATATAGATTAACTGAGGTATACGGCACCTATAATTTTCATCCAATGTTTCGAGTGTTGCTTCAGTTTCTAAAAAAAAAAAAAAATCTTATTGTAGCTGGTTATTTAGTTGAGTTATATTTAGGAATATACTGCATGTTTAGTGGAGGTAAGGTATCAGAGGGGTATATTGAGAGATGGATATTCTCCTTGTTCTATTGTGTGTCTGTCTTGTGGTCTGTAGTTAGGAAGGTCAATCATTTACTTAAGTCACCTCATTCAAGTCGTGGTATATCCATTTCATGTGAAGATATTGTAGTGATACATCTTCATGCCCTTCTTAAGACTGTACACACCATCCCAAGAAATATCTTTATGGAAGGGTCTGATGAATTTCATAACAAACACTGACTCCTGTTGTCTCGGCAGGGTTAAGATCCCTCATCACTTGGCATATTTTCTTTAATACAAAATTGTCAAGATGCTGTACTATTTTGATGGTGTACATATCACATACCAGTACTTTTATTATTAGTATTATTGGTCTACTATTATCATTACTTAATCTTGAGTATTAAAACTGTAATTGGGTAATCCAGCCAATTATCGTGTGACTTAAGACAAAAATAATTTACCAATAATTTTTTTATGAAAAAATAAGTGAGGTTCAAGAAGATGAATGGGAAATGACATCTTCTTGAACCCTTTGGCTGCTGGAGTTTTCTGTAAGCTGAACAAAACCGTCATGCAGTTCCAGAATAAAATTAAAAAGTGCGGGAATCATAGTGAAGTGTTAAAGGATTATTAGGATGTGATACACTTGTTGAAATGACCGTATAATTCTTTGTCTTCGAGTAACTCATCTGGCATACACAGATACGCATCTATTTATCACCGTATCTTGTTATCTATCCATTTCTTACTTCTAATTAAATGGTGTAAGTTGGTTCGATATAAAACTTGGCATGATTAGTCTTTGAGGTGGTCACATTATGTTGGTTAAAGGTCCCTAATGCAGATGTATGAACCTAAGGCAATTTTGTTTTTGTTATTTGAAAGTGTAACTCAACACTGGATGATCACCAGGTGTGTCTGTTGGTAGAATAGTCAAGTGTTGTTAGTGTAAGTAACGAGTGAGTAGTGTTGGCTTTGTATTTTTTGAGATTTAGGTCTCTAGCTCTTGTAGATTTAAGAGGTTTATTGTGTGATATTATCAAGTTTATGATAATGTTTAACATCTGTTGCTGGTTTTGTTTAATATGAAGCAAAATAATCCACGCTAGGTCTAGTTGTCGAGTCTGTAAATAACAAAGTCTTGGCCAACAGGAAGTAAAAGTAAGCAGTCCTGATTATTCTGGGATGACCGCTGAGGAGGCCCTGGCTGACTTCATACAGAGGATTGAGCACTATATGGATCAGTATCAACCTTTAGATGAAGCAAAGGAAGACCATCTCTCTTTCATGAAGGTTTACAATACAGGTTGGTAGGGATGACTTCTTTTATCTTGTATATAAAACAAATATTACCGGTAACTGGAATAGAATAAACTATTTTGGGTTTAGAAATTTAAAAACAGATCGTCTATTCCCAGTATATCATAAAATGTAACTAAAAAGATGTGGAGATTAGAAAAATTCTGATCAGTTAGATTTTTTTTTAGTAAGTAAGGTTACACATGAGTTTGCTCTTTGATAGATGCTGAAAATGAGAGAGGGATCTGTGTGTGTATCTTAGGTCTGGCTAGTGCACCAAGGTTAGAAAAGAGTGAAGAATCTCCACTCTAGCTCTATTTGACATTACTTGGAGGGGATGAGGTTTGGATAGGTTTGGCCAGGTTAGGTTAGCATTAGAGTGGTTAATCTTTAGGTGAAATAAGCGGAGGTGGAGATTCGTGAGGTAATATGTCTGAAATATAGATCCGGTTTAATGTAGTAGTGTATATTTATAAGAGCTACATGTTAAAAAGAGAGTATTGAAGGTTGTAGTGTGGAGGATGGTGTGGTTTCACTGAAGGAATCTTGCACAGAGTAGGGATGGCATGATAAGGAATGACATAAGTTGCTACTAGGGTGAAAATAAGGGGGAGGATGGATTGACTTTTATTAATATACTCACCTAGGAAATAACAGAAGATAACTGGCAATGAAGAGATGGCTGTTAAAGTGTGTAGAGGAGGAAGTATTGAGGGAATGATGTATAGAATGTTGTTTCAAATTTACTGTTTTACAAATTCAATGCAGGAACATGGAATCAAAAGAAATTGACTAAGCTACTGTATCTCTCTCTCTCTCTACAGGACAGAAAGTTGTAGTGCACAAACATGAAGGACACATTCAGGCGCGTATAGTTTATTACCTGATGAATACTCACGTCACTCCTCGCACCATCTATCTCACCAGGGTATGTGTTTTCCTCACCTTAGGCTCGTGAGGATGTTTATATCTTTGTTTACAGTACATGTTTGTATTTATTACTGATATAATTAAGTTCTACCTAATCTATAATTCACCAAGCCATGGGTCACTGACTTGTAAATACAGAATAAGTGTTGTCCATGCAAGCCCACACATACTACCATGAAACTATAGTATAAGTTACATGGGTAAATATCCCATTATACCTTGTCAAGTTAAGAGTACAGTTCATGGGAAGATTAAAACACCATTAGGTAGAAAGGTATAGGAGTATATTTGTATATTGCTTCAAATAAGTGTTGTGTAGTTACATATAATATTGAATAAACTGTTAATATTTATTATAAAACATTGTGAACCACTGAACACACACACTTCTATGCACACATACATACATACACGCCATGCATGGATTCATACATAAATGGAGAATTAAAGTAGTCTGTACATTCCCACAAATTTACTCAATTCACATTCTTACCATTTCATTCATGGACACTAATTGTTGTCTTGGTTCACTGATTTAAACCAGTTTCAGCATATGAGGTCATGTTCTTGGCATGTTAACTGCTGATTCTGTCTAGGTTAATGAGGCCGGAACATTTATATTAGATAGGCTTTTAGTAGCTAAACCCAATTGTCTGTTATCCATTTATTCAGGAACTATCTAGGATACAGTTCCAAGTGTAGATCACTGTAACTTATCACTGTAGCTGTGAGTGTTAAGGTAAGGACGGAGGCTATGTTAATAAACCTGCTAAATACGTCCGTGAGGGGTTGAGTGACTGCTCGAGGGCGCCGCCCTTTTAATGCTGACTTTAACAGTAACTAAGCCGCACCTCAAGGAACTTGCCCATCACGTGATATGATCATGTCACCTCATAGCCAGTGGAAAGTTACAGGGGGTGATATGATTATATAAAGACAATGTATTGCCCTGACATTTATATAAAGACTGATGGGGCTGATACAGTCAAATTGTGGAATTTGTTAGAATTCACAGAGGTAATCTTTTACATGCTAATTAAGGACCTGTTGTCTGTAATTTGAGATCTGTATACGAGTATTTACTTTGTCCAAATGACGTCTCAAAATTATTAATTACTTTTCCAATACTAATTACTCACCACCTATGGTTTTTCACTTGTTACTTATCTTGCCTTTAAATCTTTTTCCAATATCTTATTACCTTGCTATCAATTCTTTTTTACCATTAACTTTCTATTTCTTTTCTTATTATCATTTAATTTTTCTCCTTACTCTTATAAAGAATAAAAAATGCCACGATAGGATAAACTGCCCCCCCTCCCCCCTCCCCCAAGAAGCACAAGTCCTGATCAGAATTTTTTAACCCCTGGATATTGATCAAAATATTTTAACTTCTGGATATTGATGAAAAATATATTTGACCACCGGTTATTCCTCAGCATGGCGAAAGCGTCCACAACGAGCAGGGAAGAATAGGGGGCGATGCCGACCTGACTGAAAATGGTCGGAAGTTTAGCAAAACTCTTGTTCATTACATCAAGGAACAGAAAATTCCTAAGGTGAGTTTTTGACACAGACGTTGTGTGTCCCTCTGGTAACGTCAGCAGCTATGTACCATCCCAAGAGAGCTGCAGGAAGGTGTAGAATAGAGTGAAAAGAATAGATGTAGGTGTAGAAATCCTATCCTGAATACAAAGACTATAACTGAAAACAAAATTACCATAAATAGCGTGATAATAAGGTTGGTGAAATAGTTTGATAACTTTGGTCAGTGAAAAGATATTGGATTTTATTTTTAAAGTTTTTGCTTTTTAGTTTTACCTGGAAATGCAGTCCAGTAGACACTCAGGCAAGGGGATATTTAAGTGTGGAAACTTGTAGTATTTGTTTCAATTTTTATGATTACTCTTATGAAGAAAAAAAAAAGGTGGATACAATGATAGTTCTTTAAGACTAAGGATAATTGAGAAATACTTGTTATTTTTTAAACTCGATAACTAAGCATCGCCGTGTATTTAGATAGTTATTTCATCACAGTAAGGCCTCTTTCACATGACTTGGAAATCAGTAGAGTTCAGTGGGATCTTTCACACAGAATTCCATTGGTTTTCAGGTGTTGAGATAAATGCTCATGTAAAAAAAGCCTAAATAATGGGAATTGAACTATATGTAAGCTATGTAACCTTCCCTGATAAAGTGATCCACACCATGATGCTGCAAGACACTCGATACATATGTTTGCTTTATACTTGACATATTATAAAATTTTTGTGAGAAACCCCCTAGTTAAAAAACAGCGTACAGGTAATTACGGTAAATGTTGGGAATGGTATCCACTTCAAGCATTTACCTGTGGGTAGAACAAAGTGAATAAATCTATATTGTTAATTATTACAGGTGCACAGGTAGTTTCTGACCTCTTTGTATTTTAAACATTGTGAACGTAACTTATTTGTGCGTTTTTAGCTGCGAGTGTGGACGTCCTGGATGAAGAGGACCATTCAGACAGCCGAGGGTATTGAAGCTCCCCAAGAAAGATGGAAAGCCCTGAATGAGATTGATGCAGTAAGTAACTTTTATCTATAACTTAGTTCTGGATAGAGTAAAAAGTAAATCTCCACTTAACCAGACTTTACCCAACTGAGAGTCTGGGTAACAGGACCCTATGTTTCCTTATATTGTCTGACTTCACAAAATTGGTCAATTCTGCTTAGTCTGTTCATATCAATTCCACGTGGTGCATGAGGCCTCTTCATGCAGAACCTTGAAATTATTAGAATGTTATGGATTAAAACAAATATTTTTCCTGTCATCTGTTTCACCATTTGAAATTGTTACTTCTTTTTATATTAAGCTATTCAATGTAGCTGGTCTAAATTTCAGTGGACCATTCTGCATGTACGCAGTGAATGGTTTAAAACATCATTTGCTTCGCCTGTTGCCAAATACATATTCCTGCGTTTACTTTCATAAGATTCTCTTCATGCTTTCGATATTATGTTCTTATTTCTTCCCTATTTCATCATTGGTGTGTATGTGTCTTATGTGTAGGAGTTTACTGGACTTTGTTTTATGCTAAGGATCTGAGTAATGTTCATATTGGGAAGGATTGCCAAAAAATCACTGAAAGATGTTATTTCTTTCCAGGGTATCTGTGAGGAGATGACGTATGCTGAAATTAAAAAAAATTTCCCACATGATTTTGCTGCTCGAGACCAGAATAAGTTTAGGTTTGTAGAATACTTAAGAACTTAATTGTTGTAAGGAGTTATATGCTGTATTATATACCAGGTAATATGAAATACAGTACCATGCTGCTGTCATTTGGTATCTCCTAGAATGAGTTAGTTAATACTGTATAGTCAACATGGTGTGAACTACTGAGGGTTGCCATTTCCCTGTAGAATCGAAAGGGGACCACATTGCCTATTGTCTGTTCACATTGTGTTGATTTAACAATTTCAACATCGTACTTTGAGCTGTGGATACTTTAAGGTTCAGATGTTTTCATTGTGTTTGTCGAAAGAAAAATGAACCTGGTTTGTTTCCAGCTACCGGTACCCTCGTGGTGAAAGTTACGAAGATCTGGTAGCTCGTCTGGAGCCTGTCATCATGGAGCTGGAGCGTCAAGGGAATGTTTTGCTTATTGCACACCAAGCAGTCATACGTTGTCTTCTAGCATACTTCCTTGATCAACCCTCTGGTGAGTTAACACTGTGTGAATTCATGTTTCATCAAGGTTAAGGTTACAATAGGAAAGACATTGTGAGTTGTGAACATCATGTATGAGAATAACTAACACTGTGATCCTCAAGGCATTATAGTTATTGTGTATGTAGACATGGTGGTGCCTCAGATACACTGATCATTCCTTAATAATAACTTTCCTGGCTGCTGGGAGTACATATAGGAGAGGATGCAAAGTATTCCTTGAATATGACAAAGAAGTTAACTGAAGATGCCTTGATATATTTTAACTTCCCTTATGCCCCGGGTTAGGGTGACAGTAGATCAAGAAAAATCGGCTTTTCCAAAAATAATTTTTAACCTTTTTAAATGATAAATTAATAAAAAATAAGTAAGAAAAACTATTTATTGACCCTCTAGAAACTTCCCTGGCAGTGCTGAGGGAGGGAGGGAGGGAGATGAGACGGTGTTGTTTTGACAGTTGACGCTCGTGGTCACCTATGCACTTAGCAGCTATTTATAGCTTGCCTTTGTGACTGAGATGGCCAGTAATGCATATATTTACTGATCATTGTACTTATTTGCTATAAATAATTAATATAGAATATTTTTTTTTCATTATTTTTCATAAAAACTGCTCGGTAACACTCGCCAGTCGGTCGCCAGGCTGTCTGGCTGTCTTTGTGTTTGGTAGTACAAGTAATGAATAAAATAATAATTCCACAAATAAATACATTTATAACATAATCATAGCATTATTTTCCAGTAATACTACCCTACAATACAACTACACTACTTTTAGCAATACTGTATTACTTTGATACAACATGATAAAATGGACAAACAATGAAAATGAAACAAACAAAAGTAGGTAATTACGTTCAGGAAGCTTCCCTGTGGCCGAGGTGTGGTGTGACAGGCAAATAGTCACACTGGAACGTCACCCGGGGCGCACTGGTTGGGCGTTCTGGAACGTCACCCGGGGCGCACTGGTTGGGTGTTCTGGAACGTCACCCGGGACGCGCTGGTTGAGCGTTCTGGAACGTCACCCAGGGCGCGCTAGTCCGACGTTCTGGAACGTCACCCGGGGCGTAAGGGTTAATAGTCTGTTGTTCATCTTGGTATCAGGGTGTCAGTCAAGGTGTTCATGAACCTCTCCTTCTCCAGCACACCCCTCATAGCAGTTAGATTATTTATACAGGTTGTACTTAAAATATCTGAAGTGCTTGGGACTAACCAGAGCCATTTCACATAACTGGAGTGTTTGGTTAACAAAGTCATTATAAAAAAAAATTAATAAATAATAATATTTCACTAAGCACCAAATAAACTACAGGCAGTTCATGAGCGACTGACTTACTTACACCAGCACTGTACTGTGATGATTATAAACTACTGTAATATATGATCTCTATAACTGAAGTTAAATTAAGTAGTGTATAAGTAAGGTTAATAATAATACAAAAATAAGTGCAGTTAATTATTTATATACCTACAATTTACCTATAAGTGACTTTGGATATATACAGCCATACAAAGTGTAGTTCATTACCTATTGTGCTTTGTTTGGTATCATTTGTTTGTTTACTTAGGTTTGGTACAAAACAAAGAAATAATGAAAAGACTTCATTCATCTTTGACTTCGACCTTTTATGATAAATATTTGAAATTTTCTAACATCCTTTGCCGAAATGCTTTTGCCTTGAAATCATTTTATAATTTGATAGTTCAGATATTTAACACTATTTTAGAGAAGAACAGGTCTGCTTACCAATTGTGAACACATTTAGTTTGAATAAATGGACAGCTACACAAATATTTTCAATGAACCAATTGGTTATTTTTACAGAAGAGGGCATGACTTACAGGTCTGGTTAGCAAGGGAATAGTATAGTTTTCTGAGACTTGGATAATTGAACACGTTTATTAACTTCTCTATAACTTCAGATCTTTAAGCTTTACATCCTTGTACTTTCTACACCTAACTCTAATGTGTAATTTTTATGCAAGTAATGTACTGTATCTTGTAATCATGAACTGTATCTAATTCTACTATTTCTGTTGATCAGATGACCTGCCATACATAGAGGTTCCTTTGCACACTATGATCAAGTTGACACCAGTAGCTTATGGTTGTAGGGTGGAGTACCTCCCTCTCAGTGTTCCTGCTGTTAATACCCACCGTCCTAAGCCAGAGGTAAGAAATGTAGCCTTAAACATAAGCATGAGTCTGCTTATAAATGTATTCTTTCTATTCAAAGTGTCAAGTAAGCTTGTATCATTCAGAATTTGTTGGAAAATGAGAGAAGTTTGTAAATATCCCTTAATTTAGTTAAATACTGATTAATCTCTTCTTACCTGCTACACCTCACTCCTCCAGGAAGCCAGAACAGAAGAGCCTCCAGTCTGCCCTATCATTACATATCTCCTTTGTCCTCACACCTGTTATATTTTGACTTGGCATCATTCCAAAACATGTGACTTACTTAACCGCCACCAACATTTAATTGCTAATCATAATTTTACCTTTTACTTCGCTCAGGCTTTTATATACAGTATATGTTTTCCAAAATTTAGTCTAACTTTGCCTCCACATTCCATAACCGTACTCGACACCTTTTCACATATCCATTGAGACATTGTTACATAACTATTTGACAAATTTCATAACCGAATGACAGACAGAACACATATCATTGACAATCTAAAATAACTGTTCGTTCATGCTAATGGAAATGATTGACATAAGTTATGAAGTTGACAGACGTGAACAATAAACCGACAGTCTACATATAGTTTGAGAATGTAACAATTGGAGAATGACATACCACCAACAGTTATTTTAGATTGTCAATGATATGTGTTCTGTCTGTCATTCGGTTATGAAATTTGTCAAATAGTTATGTAACAATGTCTTAACGGATATGTGAAAAGGTGTATTATCATTAACCTTTAATCACATAGCCCGTCCTTGTGATTCGCCACCTTTAGAAGTTCCTGTTTATTCTCAGCATCACATATAGAGAGATTATCACCAGTGACCATATCCCATCCTCCAGATCCAATTCTGCTCCTGCCTTATTCACCATATATTGATTAAATTAGCATCAATGATCTTGCAAACCATGCTAGATAGTCCAAATCTTAAAATTTGATGGATAAAGCACATACATTATTTATGCATATGTATGACTGAGGTATAAGACTTGAGCTAAGAGATTTTTCTTCCTTTGTTATGTCATCAGTATCAGACTAACGTGATGAAAGAAGTACGATGTTCTTGGTCAGCTGTGCCAATACATTAATTTAAACCAACTTCTTCAAGAGTTTTCTCACTTATTGGATCAAGATAAGAATCTTACCCTATACCTCAGATATCCTAGAGTCGTAGTAAGCAACTCTTAGATTCACTTGACTGTTTACATTCTAATTTGAGATGCCCCTAGTTGCATGTATTATCTCATATCCACATGTAGATCAATTTGTTATTTTGTCATTTGGTGAAAATCTAGTGTTGCTAACATTGTAATCCCAAGTTTTCCCTCGGGCAGAAGAATCATCTTTGGTTACTTATCGGTAGACAGTTTCTTTCATGATCTTGTTAACAGCTTGTGAAACCCAAAAACAACACAAGGTAAAGGTTTCAGTCTAGTCCTTTTAAGATTTATATGATAAATTCCTCAGTGGAGCAGTATAGTGGCTCCCTGGAAGTGGAGTTTGGTAACATGTTCTTAGACATTACAACTAGCCAATTTTTCTTGTCATTTATTTAAGATCATGTAGCCAGTACTGTTATACTAACTGTTTGTAGTCTGGGAAAGAGTTAGTACCAGTTTGAGGTGTTATCTTTAAGTTAAAGGTGGGACTGACTACTTTCTCTCTCTAATTATTGACATTAAACTAAATTTTTGGTGTATGTAGTTTATTGAACTCTTTATTTTCAGGTGCCTGGGTCACTTCATCTGTCGCTGTATCCAGAGGTTGATGATATGGAAATGAACTCTTGATGATAAAACCAAATAGGACTTTCTTCTGCAATTAGGCATTTTTGTCTGCTTTGCTGCCAATAATTCTGAATTGCCAATTTTCACCTCGACAGTGTTCACCAAAGCTGCCTCCACTGCTTACAATCAAGTTTTCCTGGTATACTTCCAAGTGACATTGATCGGGTACCTGTCAATTAAGTTGATTGTGAACAGTATGTGTGGTTTTGCTTGAATGTCCTTCATTTTATTCTGCTACTTGTTTAGCTTTAATATTTATATTACATAGGATAAAAGAATGTAGTATTGTATAACTTACAATTTATGAATAAATGTATTGTAATCGGTTTAATTTATGCAGCTGTATATTTGAAAGGGAAAGACGACACAAACATACCTGTAGTGCACTTTGTTTTTATTTCAAACATTACCTTTATTCTGGTGAAGATCATCATAAAAAGTGTTAGTGTTGCTATTTGACGATGGTGTAATTAGTATTGCCAGGACACAAACAGATAAAAATTTATTTTTTTATCTTTTAGGATACTGTATCTACTTAATATTAAATAACTGACAAAATCATGGCATTGATAGAATAAACGTTTTCCCAGTGATGATTTATACTCAGACTTAGAGGGTATTAATTTATCCTAAGACTGGTAAAGGGACTTAACCTTTCCTTGCAGCATGATCCTATAACTCCCATTAGTGTGTAGTGTACTGCTGCCGGCGTACATGCACACGCCAGCTCGGCCATGCAGTAAGGAAGGAGGTGAAGGTGATATTAGCTTCAAGGCCAGACTTAGAAGTATTTGTTACTTCACTTTATAGAGATAGGGAAATTTAGGAATAGAGGAATATTGCTTGCCAAAATAATTGACATTTCGGCTACACTGTACAGTATACGTACTTAAAAAAACGGAAAGGATTTTGCCTTAAAGCCATATTAACTTTGGGGGATCCCTTCACCAAGTTGCATACATTGTGTGGTAGATATAATAAGTAAGTACAAAAATTACTCTTCTCACCAGCTACAGTAGATAGTAGTGTGCACCTACATACAGCAGTATAAAAGATACTAAGGTTTAGTGCAGTATTATTTTTTTAGGTAACTGGATCATATCAAAGAAAGTTTGCTAAATTTTCATTCAAAGTTAACTCTATCAATGTGCTTTAAATATTTTCTTGATGCTGGTGCTGTGTAACCCACAGGAAGTAGCAGTATACAAGATGAAGCAACTAGAATTGTAGCTCTAACTACACAATGTGCCTTTTCTCACTTAACAGAAGGTACATTGCAAGGTATTCTCCAAACATTATAGTTGACATATCTACACACACACACACACACTTGTATCTTCTATGCCGATAAATGTACATCCTCATATTTTTTCCACTTTTGTTTGTTTCTTTATTCCTGCATACTTTCCTTTGTATAATTCATGGCCTTTCCTTAGAGAAGTCGTGTTCCTTTTCCTATCGTTTAACAAATCACATCAAATTTAATATTCTCACCTTTGCTAAAACATAATTTTGTGAGCATGGTAAAATATAAATTTATTAGTGTACTGTACTATTCTTAAAACCTCATTTAGGTGTTAGAACAGCTGACATATTTATTCCACATATTACCAGCAGCTCTTCAGATACAGTATATGATTTAGGAAATTATATTTTTCTTTTCTTTCCTGCAAGGTACAGTTGCCCACATGTATATTGTTCCACTCCTTGGTGACCTTTCTCAATGTGTGGCAATATCGGAATCACTTTAATTGAATCGGTAACATGGGAGACCAGTTGTTGGTAACTGCTCTTCTTAAGTTACCGATTCATTCATAAAGGGATTCTTACTTTGCCACATGTTCAGAAAGGCCACTGAGGGATGGAACATTATACCTGTGAGCAACTGTACATGTTAAGTTGTACTTGAACTTAGAATAAGGTTTTAGTTACTTTGTTGTAGATGTTATGGTCATTATATATTTCTGTGTATTTAGAATATGAATTTCTTAATCCTTTTTCACAAAAGATTACTGCAGTCTCTTCAGTCTCGCTCTCCTTCAGTCTCGCTCTCCTTCACCTCAAAAGCATTGTAGTTCATCAAACCTTTTATTAATTTCCAATAGTGATGTACTCAAGCATGTCTCTTACTGCACCTGCACCATCAGCTTTCATTCCTCTTAATACAGTGCTAAATACAGTATAATAGTTTCCGAGTCTGTCTTTAGGTAGAGTCTTTCTAAAAAGCTGTAAAGACATGTTGGGTAGCTGAACAGTAACCTAAACTGGACCCTTAATCCTCCACCATATTGGATTTCAGTTATACATTCTCAATAGAACTCATTAACTTCATTCATTATATGGAATGTTTTTGTTCTTCATTGTAGTATAATTTACAGTAATATGTCTTGTTATATTTTTTTTCTTTGTAATTTTCCCTCTGTAGCTTTATCACTATTTTATAACCTTCCAAAGTGCATTTTTCTCCTTGCTTTAGACTTACTTGTTATTTTAGTTTAACCTTTAGCTGGGTGAATTTTAGGCAACTGCCTTCGTCTCAGGTTGTGATTTTTTTTAAGTACAGAAATGTTAAAGCTATATAAACATTCAACCTAAGCTTCAAAATAGCATAGAAATTAAATATAAAAAGGCAACAGAATAAAGATTACTAAAGGGCATGCAAGAGATGTGGGCAGTGAGAGGTGTCATGCCTGGTATGTTTAATCTAGTGATAGTATATTTTAATTATAATAGCCACAGTTGTTCACTTTGCTAATAATATGATGCTAAGTAACACTCAAATAGGGCATGCATGTGTAATTCACTAGTTTGCTTCATGAAAGTCATTATGGGTTGTATAAGAAAGAAAAAGTCTACCGAGTTCATTGTTATTACGATCAGATTTTGGGAAGCATCATCGTAATCACTTGTATCCTCTTCTTAGTTTCCGAGTTTTTGCCGCATATGTCTACCTTCAGTAACGGTGATGTCTTGTGTAAATACTGTACTGAGATATGTTACTGTTAGAATGCAAAGAGACATTTTCCTCTCCTTTTCAGTGTATGGGTGAGGCACTAGGCTGTGAAAGTAATTGCCTCTAGTATGGTAAGAATGTGGGGGAGGTATTATTTGTTACAAAACTCCAGTCTTGTACTGTGCATGAACTTTTTTAAATGGGTGTGTTATACTTACTATGAACGTACTATGTTGTTGCCCTTCTGAGGCTGTGCATGATACACCTATAATGTACCTGTCAAAGAATCAGTGCTTTTTATTTTGTGAAACATTTGGGTTTTTAAAACTAATTTTTTTTTTTTTATGCTGATGTACACCCTAAATATATCTTCCCTGGACATATTTTTTGTTGCAACAATCTGCAATTGCTTTCCCCAAGATACTTTCTTTGCGGTCAGTGTTAAGCCCCGAAAAATTTAAGAGATAGTCAGTAACCAAAATGTTTGGGGAAGATCCTCTCAAGTATTACCACCTTGCTGTCAATGTGGGAAAAGTAAAGATGGTCTAGATATACACGTGTATCTTTCTGTACCCCATCACTCCATGTACTGGTACAGCACTCCTGATCCACTCTGAATCCTCATTTTTCTTCCTGTAGTACAGTACTGTTCTGTTAGGTAAGGTTGACTATTTTCTTTCACTTGTGCTTTGGTGCACAAATTTTAAATACTTTTACTCTATATTCTTAATGTTATTCTCTCCTCTCGCATTACTTAATTCAAGTTTTATCCTTTAATGTCCCTCTTAGTCTCATTATCCCATTTCAAAACATTCCCTTTTTTATTAAATACGTACTCGGTTTGACTCCCGGGTGTTACAAGTTTTCCAATTCATTAAAGATTTAATGATATGAATGTAAATACCTGTATAACAAAACTAGTGACAATTTGTTAAATTTGTCGGACTGACTTTAAATTTATATACCCGGTAAGTTATTTGTGTATGTTATACAGTACATGTTCCATTTGGGAGTAGGAATTGGCTTTATAATTACAGTACAGTATATCACAAAGTAACATCAAGTCTTCATATAGTTTATTTTGGCCCAGATTAATGTTAAAGAAAAAGATGATAGGTAGAGAGAATAAGTTTGTTTCTATTATGGTAAATGTCTGGTACTGGTATGTTTATATGTGTCATCCTGTTTGATAAGTTAGCCATTTTATGAAGAAAAAATCATGTATGTAACATTTCTAAATTTTGAAATTAATCCAATTTTGTTTAAATGGTTTTTTTTCTCCAGCTTGAGAGTTTATGGATGTGTTTAGTAATATCACTATTTTCCTTTGATAGTAATGCTGTTTGAAGATTTTCCACAATTTATTATTGAGGTTTCTGGATATTATACAAATAAGACTAGACCACGAGTTGTGAAATTTGCAGGGTATTTTTTTTTGTTTTCCAGAATACCAGTACAATACAGTAGAGGCGGTCCTCATTAGTGTTTCTGAAAAACTTGACTAATAGTAAAACCAAAGTTACTATACCTAATGTTATCAGTTGGGTTACTTTTGTTGGGATTATACAGTATTTTGTGACTTTCTTCTCACACAAACGGAATTTTTATTTAATGGAGAAAAAAAAATAGAAAAAGGCTTTACAAAATTCCTTAACACATCCATACTCTAATGAACATTATAGAAGCTAAGATAAATAAGCAATATTTGTGTACAAGTGAGAGGGTAGGGTTACCACTGCTCTCCTGTATGTTCAAATAGAAGGGTGTTTCAGTGGTGGGGTAGGGAGTGCTTCTGGTATTGTGTAAGCTAATGCCTCAAAAAGAACAGAAGTGAGTGAAAATTGGTCAGTGGATGTACTTGATCATACGCCAATTTTTTTCCAAAGTTATGTCAGGAGTTCATTTCCAAATAGTTGTCCGATGTTTATGTATGATACATTTTGAGGGAGGAAAAGACGATAAATTTAAATATCAGGAATAGAGACAAAATGAGGGATAGATAACGGTTATTGGTACAGTATATAAGAGGGAGTTGGAAACAGCGTGGGCCGGACACTTTCAAATAAATTACTGAGTACTTTATTATTAATTTATTGATAGTAATGGATAATGATAATATAATGCAATAATTTTTCCATAAAATTAAAACTGAAAACCATAAATAAAATATCAAATATTAATCTGGAATTAAATGTCGGTAAGCGTGGTGGCAACATTGTCAACCAACAGGCTAAAAATTTAATTTATTGCTGGAGATAACCATTGCTTCCTCCATTGTAATATATAATAATTAACTTGCATGTAATAGACATTCACAATCATCATCCAACATGATAAACTAAATTGTGTAGGTAACCATAAAAACCCTTTTGTTAAAAGCAATTACTAATTTTTATGTATTTGCACCATATAAAATTAGGTAAATAATGTTTAATTATTGATGTATAATATATTTATATTTTTCAACAAAAAGTGAAAGATGGCGACAGGGAACAAGAATAATGAGGACCGCTTTTATCGTTCTTATTATTGGTGAACAATAAAGACTGGTATGATGGTTGTAATAAATATTTGTTTCTTGAATATGTAATATTTTCATTTAATGCACAGACATTATGAAGACTTCCTTGAGCACTTTTCATGTTCATTCTGGATGTTTGTCCCATATTTTACATTTATAAATTATTTTTTTATCTTAAGAAAGTTTTATGTGCTGTGAATGTAGAAAAAGATGAAAAGATATAATTTTATAGTTATATCCATAAACAATGAGTATTGAAAAAGAGCACTGTAATGTCTGAAGGGGACTTTGCCAAATGCAAAAAATTAACAAGAGAAAACCAGCACTGTATATGGATACTGTACTGTATAAGAAAATGAATGTACAAGGAAGTGGGGATTATGAGGAGGCCATATCATTGTGTGGGATCATGTTGTGTGTGATTGAGGAAGAGGTAAACAGAGCTACAGAGTATTTGGAGATTTCACTTGTAGACCAAATTACCTTTTTCTATGGTTGTTTCCATGGGCCAGCCTGAGCCAGCCAATCTTCTTCAATATTGTGGCTCTGGTATTCTTGGCAATGGTCGGAAATCTCACCCCCCTAGCAGTCTATCGACGCAGGTTTGCCCAGTAACAGGAACGGTTTTTCCATTTTAGTAAAAAAAAAAAAATTGGGTAAAGTGATTCCAGACCCAAATTGCACCCTCAGAGATGCATCTGCCAACCCAGGAGGCTAATGGGAGGAAATTAGGTGGTTGATAGGACTGATCCACTGTTCAGCATTTCTGCTTACAGAAAGGGTGCTCTCAGTGCAAGATCTGGTTGAGTGGGAGGGGTCAGGCCAGCACAGGAGCACTTGTGACACATTCTGCACTGAAAAACCACAAGGTTATCCATACAGGTAAACCTCGATGAATAATGTCTCGTTCAGCGATATTCAACTTTAACAATATCCATTGGTTAGGAAAAAAAATTTCCCTAGTGTAAACTATGGGTTGTATATACTGTACTGTACAATACTTAAATTAATCGCTGTCTTGCAAGAATTCTAGCAATGCAAATTATATTTTTCTGTCATTGACATTTCAAAAGGAAACAATTTTTAACCTCGTCAACCCTACCCACTCGCCACTTAATGGCCAACCTATGCACTACACCCCCTCCGCTTGGTTCTTTGTCGATCGTAACCCTGCCATTTCTTAGCTCTATGATAATCAGTCCGCATCATACATTGTATTTGGCATGTGTTTTTTTTCTTAGTGAGAGGACAGCACTAACATTTAGACTGAACTGTGTTATGGTGACTGAAATGATATTTTCTGTTTTTGTGACTAAGCTGCTTCGCCTCTGTTGTGAAAAAGAGGAGCAGTATTGGCCGCTATCATTGTTTTTGTTATCGTTTGCTCTGTTTTTGTGACTGTGAAGTGAGCAGCGTAACTTTGGAAATGTCTGGGAAGGCCAAGACAACCGTTTGTGTGTGTGTGTGAGGTGAAGCTTGACATTATTAAGAGAGACAAGACTCCCAAGAGGCTGTGTGGGAGTCAGAGTGACGTCTCCACTCCACCTACAAGAGTCCTTTTAGCCTTGAAGGGGACATGTGATGATGACCAGGCTTATTCTTCATTATGTGGTGAGTGTTGTTCAATTTTTTCTATTGATTTTATAAGTGTAGGCATATTTTTGTTGGTGATATATGTGTGTTTGGGGACTGGCTGGGAACATATTCCATTGAGCCCCATGTTATAATGCTCCATATCTTTGATATTTCACATAGCAATGGGTTTTACAGGAACCTTACCCCATCGTTTATCGAAGTTTACCTGTACAGTATTTTAATGATTTGTTGTGAAGAGATGTTTGAAAGTCATATAATATAGTATAGTACACACAACCTTTTTTGAAAAAATTTATTTTACATAAACCATTGGATTTCAAGTGCTAGAAATAAATGTACACTTACTCCAAAAAGTATATTAAAAGGATTTTGTGAGACTGACACATTGGATGAAGGATTCTGACAACCCTACTGAGGTAACCGGAGTCGGTTGTTCGTTTTGAAATTCATCAGATCCTCCATAAAGATACTTTTTGGAGCGAGTGTATCTAGTCAGGTGAGGTAATTGGGATGGTCACTTTACCTTAAGTATGGGCTTTGGATAATGTGATGGTTAATTATTCCATTACAAATATCAACAGTAGATGAAAGATGTATACAGAAAGTGCATTTGATGTCCAGTAATAAGGTCAATACTGTCTAGTGATGTCCAACTGTTACCCGACATTGGTTTATTAAGATTGTGTCGACTCCTTATGAAATTAAATTTAGCTTGCAGTGTAAGTCATGTGTGTGTTAAGGCTTTTGGATGTTAATTAAATATTTGTTTGGCTAAATGAAATTGTTACACCGATTTAATGTTGTCTTGGAGAGAGTGGATGCAGAAGAAGAATGTGGTGATTAATTTACTGAAGACTACTAAAAGATGTAAGGTGGAAAAAGCATTGTTAGGAATTACTGAGGAATTTCTTTTGTGTAGAATGCAAGATGGTAATAAGGCAGAGCTAATTTATATAAAAATAATCAAAAGTGGGACATGAAAAGAGGAGAGGATAAAGGAAACATAAGAAAATATATATTTATAACTTGGAAAGAATGTGTATGATGAATGCAAAAGGGAAGAGATGTGAAGGGAAATGATAATGTTGTGACTTGCAGCTACCAGAGGCCACTTTGGTTTGAGTGAAGAAAATTAGAATTGGGTCAGGTGTAGAAGTGTATGATTGATTCGAGGGTTAATTGGGACTAAGGGCATGATGTGTTTACGTTTATCAGGGCTTCACCTAAAGAGTTCCCTCTGCAAAGCTGCATTTTAAGACTGAGGATATTAAGCTTGGTTCCTTTTACCCCAGGTATATTGATTTAAATTGGCAGTTCAGTATTGTACGTTATAGTTTCAAAAGTTTCTACATTGTTAAACTGAAGTCTTGTACATCACAATTAACAGTTTTGTCAACGCTGGCTACTATATCCACATGTTAGAACTTCTTGTGAGGTAATATTTAAGTTGTTGATGAAAAAATATAAAAGATTTCCCATTTATTTATCTTTCTACAATTTATCTCATTGTTTTTAAAAGAAGATTTTATTTATTGATATTAATTGGTTCCTGTACTTTTCTTTATAATGGTTAGTCCTACTATTAGTCCCACAAGCGTGCCCCCCCCCCTGTTTACTAGGACAATTAATTTCTTGGAACTAAGTTTCCATCGAGAATGTCAAGTTGTTCATTGATAGAAAATATTTTCTGTATTGGTGAATAGAGATGGAATTGACATCTAAAGCGGTAAATAAATTCAGAAGACCACAATTATAACAAGAAGTACAGTGGCTGAATATAAACACATGGCCAAATGTGAATGTAAATAGGATACAGATTTCTATGAGGCTGTTAAATTACAAGTGTAGTGCAGGGAGTATTAAAGAATGGGGGAATGTCCAGATGTGGAGGGAAGAACTGGTCAAATTGATGCAGCTCACTCTGGTATATGTGAGCGAAATGTGAAGATTACAATGCTGCTGAGGGTTTGTCAGTATTGATGTAACTCTTCAGAGTGAAATAAAGTATTGTGACATTTAAAGATGTATTAATTTTAACTGACCTTTTGTGTTTGAGGTTTAGTATATTCTGCTGCAAATGTTAAAATTATATAATTTTATGAATAGTACTCTATTTTTACATGTCTTTTACTACAGTACTGCACTTAATATTTGTCAGAAGTTACCCACCAGTTACCATGATGAATACCCGTCCTTGGACATCTTGTGACCACCCTCGACAGTCGTACAATTCATCAAGAGTTGCATGATATGAGTGACACTGATATAGTATCAGGTGACGAAGACAGTGATGGGGAGGAAACAGACCCAAATGAAGTAGAGTTTGTTGAAGCGGCCAGCAGTGAGGACAGTGATACAGACAATGACACTTCCCCTCCCCACCCTACCAGTGAGGTTGTGGTGGCCATGGATGCAAGGGACCACGTATATGTCAACCACGACAGTACATTTGGAGTGACCACTAGTTTTATGCCAGAAATACCAATTTTCGACAGGATTTATAAATAGTTAAAATAAAAAATCCAAAATATGCCCAGGGCCAAGTAGATCATGTGATACCATCTCATTAATATCATCATCACTGTGTCCTGGGTTCGAGCCATGTGAGAAGGGTGTTTATCCATTGTAACCCTCATTACCAAACAACACAGGTTTTCTCCAGGTATTAACACTGGACAACAAAGATCATAACACAGTTAAGTAACAAATAAGAAACCAACCTCCCAAATTGTGAATAAACTGATAAGTGGTGAAATGATAAATAAAATATTGTGTATCTGAACAATTCATTACAGGGGGTCCCCGAGTTACGAACAAGGTCCCATGAGATCAATTATTTTAATCCGACATAGGTACAACTGGTTCGTAGTATTAATGTACAAGAACTAGTTTGTGGCATAGCAGAGCAGTGGGGAGTAGTAACGCACCTTGAGGGAGCATCAGTACACCTTGCCCTCACCTCAGTAGCAGGGTTTTAGTTACTGGAGATTTAATTTTGTTTGATACATCTGCCTTTATTAAACTGAATAATTTTTTTTCCATTTTGATTATTTACTCCAAAACAAAATTTTAGCTTTTTCTGTTATACAAAAAGCATTTTACAGTGAAATTCATCGAAAAAGTGCTGAATGAGTTTATAATTCTTTTTTTATATACAAACTGTACATTTTCTTACATACTGGATACTGTATTTCTAATAGATGATATTTCAGGATATTGTGCATAAAGATGCTGGCTCTTCAACTTTACCTTCCTTCAGCTGTTTGGCCTTCACTGCCAGAAATGACACCTGCAAAGATAATATAATCCTTAAGAATGGTTTGTAAATTTGCCAATAGATATATTGTACAGAAAGTCATGATAATTCATAGGTTAGGTATTATATCAGAAGACACTGTGAATTACCTAATTGCAAATTATAGTTTAACTGATTGAAATGGAAATAATTAGTTAGGTTCCAAAGAATAAACAAACTGTTGTAATAACCACTATATATATATCATATATATACATTACATAAAAAAAAGACCATAACACATAAATATTGTACCAAAAGCAGTTCTATATTACATAAACAGTTCCTTTTTCCTCAATAATCCACTGGGTGACTATTACACCAACCCCTGATCAACTGTTTGCCCATGATGTACCAGTCAACAGGAATTTAATACTGTACACCCCAGCAAAGAACATGTGTAATACTGGGTACCCAGTACCTAATATTTTATAATACATTTTTTTTTTTTTCAGATTTTGATTATCAGGCAGAGTACAGTACATACAGCATCATTCTTCTGAAGATACTCAGGCAATGGTTTGTTCCAGTCATCTGGTGGAGACTCTCGCTTTTCCCACGTAGTGTTGGTATAGTGGCCTATTAACCGCTTTTCACGTCGTTCTTTCTCCGTTTCTATTACCGAGGTCTGATGACAAACAATATACATTAGCTTTTTGGGGAACTATAAATTACTAAAAGAAATATGGATTAACCCTAAGGAGTTCAGTACATAGGTAAACAATACTATAATTTTCAACTTTATTCAGTTTTTAGATCTCAGTCTCACAATTCTGGGTCCTGGAGACTGCAGATTCAACACCTCAACCCCTGTGTATAGTTAGATATTGAGTCCCAAAGCCACTTATAATCACTGTAATCTTATCTGTCATCTCTAATCACAGAAGATACTCACTACACCAAGGACACTAGAAATACTACAATTGTGTACTGTACTCCTCCTTAGAATGCTTTCCCTTATAGATGTATGAAGTACAGGGTGTCCCATAAGTGTCTCAAATATTTCACCATCTTCTTCAAAACACAATACCTTAACTCTCCTTAGTATGTCTTTGATAATCTTGTTACAGTGAGATGTAATGACAGATTTTAGGTGATCCCGGACTTCAAAGAGAGGTTAGGTTCAGAGACCTCAGTGGCCATTCGATTGGTCCCCATCACCTCACCTATTTATTAGGAAATGTGTTGTCCAAGAAGTGATGAACAATAAGAAAAGAGACTATTAATTTTCCTATGGTGTAACCCTTGAGACACCCTCATCAACCATTGTACAGCCACTATCTATCATCCAGTACAGTACCATGCTTACTTACCAAAGACTCAATATCTTTCTTATTTCTATAGTTTAAGCAGTGATTGTAATCTGTCTTCCACTGTGAGCAATCTTTAGTTTCACCGTGGATGAAATACTGATGAAATTTTGCCTTTATACTCGTGCAGTCGCTGTATTCCTCTTTGTATCGCTCACAAGGACGGACCTGTAAACATAAGTGCATCAAATTGAGTACAGGACACTCAATTAAAATCCAAAATACAAAAATAGCAACTACATGTTAATATAGTGCTCTACTGTATCCCATGGACTAATTACTTGAGAGTATAGTAAGAGTTATAGTGTGCAAATAAAACTGAATTTGTAGATATATTAAGGTGTTCATTTTCATCGAGAGTTAGAGGGAATAATGGGAAAGCTTGGTAGGGAGAGGCTAGGTGCATGGGAGGATGTCACTAGAGATGTCCACAAGGCTCAACCATTTGATATTTGACATTATAATTGTGAGGGTAAATTCAGATTGTCAGATCTCATAAACTACATAGCTACCAAAAAAACCCACTAATTATTAACAAAAGTAGGTAGGATTAGCAATTTTCATAACATTTACATATTAGTTTGGCAATATTGTTGCACAAAACATCCGTTCCCACAATGGATGTTTATCATTTACGTTATTTGGTTCATATGCACAAATGGCAGTTCATATGGAGCATTTGCACATCAATAGTTTGGTGCACATCGCGTTTGTCATACCGGTATCATTTCAGTCATCCAGCGATTTTTAGGATTTTGAGTTTTAGAAGCTCAGACAATTCTAAGACTGTTCTTTTCTTTAGCATTTCTTCCAATCGTGATTACTTCGAGAAAATCACAATATATTGTTGGAAAATCGTTGTATTTTTTCTTTTTCTAAGTTCATGTTGATGTTACCACCGTCTGAGAGACCTCCTGTGTGTTTGTTTGTTGGTTACTATTCTCTATTCTGCATGCGCTAGAGTTTGACACAAGTACAGTTGTTCTTTGGTGGCTATGATTTTCGATCCACCAATCACAGCTCAGTATAGGCTTCAATTTTAATTTAATTTCAAGATGTCTTCAATATGCAATGGCTGTGATGTTAATTATTTCCAAGCTATGGCCAGATTTCACGCAGAATATCACGGTAAGGACAGAGAAGTGTGGAAATTTCTCCAACAAGGTGTTTTGCCAAATGAGGTTACTTGTGTGATGTGTAACCAGCCTTGTAGCTAAAAGGCTGACAAACACTGTCTGTGGAGGGACCTCAAGGACTGGGTGAAGTGACCTGACAACAAGTCCAACTACTTCATGAGGTACTTGGTACGCTACTTGCTTAATACACAGTTCAAGCGAGGACAAGCTTCGACTCCAGTTCTTCATCACTGCCAGCAAGGTCTACTCCCCAGTGGAGAAAAAGCGACCAGTGCGACCTGTGGATGATAAGGTGGAGAACCCCAATGACCCCAACTCTGAGTCTTCCGAGTCTAATTAAGGTAAGCACACAGGTGGCTAGGTTGCATTGGGTTGGGTTAGGTTAGTTTGGGATTATTGTGACCTTCATTTCTATGGCAAATTACTACTACCTGTACTTGTCATTTTTCCCCACTGGATAAGGGAGGTATCTCAAAAAATAGTGATTAGTCATAGAAATGAAGGTCAGATTCGTTCAAAACACATAAAAAGCCATTGGAGAAACATAATTTCAACTTCCAACAACTTCGAAAATATACGACGATTTTCCTTTTTTTTTTCTCTTTAGGTAATCATGAGCAGAAGAAAAGCTATATCAGAAAATTGGGTAAATATTTGTTCATTGGCTGCTCTCAGATTGAAACAAAAATAGGTTTTTCTGGTGTATTATGGTGTTTTTTACTCGAATCTGACCTTCATTTCTTGTGCAAATTAGCGGGGGGGGTTTTTATGAAATTTTAATTTGGAACAGAAACCTCTAAATTGCACCAAAATGACAGTCACGTTTCAGTAAAACACACCAAAAAAATAAAACCTAACCACACCTAACTATATCTTGGAGCTTAACTACTACATGGTGGAGTATACAGCTGGGCAATCTGGTACTGGATAGAGAAAAGAATTTCGGTCTTTTCTTAAAAATAAAACAATTTCCACACGTAGGACACAGTCTTGATGTTGGTAGAGCACCGTGATCATGTAATATTTGGATTGCTTCACTATTGTCCTGATAAACTCACAGAATAACAGCTGGATAAGGGAGAAAGCACTTTTTGCACACCACCACGTTCCTTCCAAATGGCTACTTCAAATGATTGGCCAGCCAAGTCACATGACACAATATTTGAAGATCTTTGGTTGTCATGTCACTAAGAGGAGAGAAATAATTCGGGCAACATGGGGGATAAGGAGATTTACGCCTAGAAATTTGTGAAATACTCCGTTAATATTGACTTGCAATAGAAATTATATTAAAGTTTGTTTATTTTATTTTTTACTCTGTCTGTAATATTGAAAATTGGAAACCTGCCAACAGCCAACGGACGAATATTAACCAAAAATTATCTTAAAATTGTCTAAACTACCGATTCCTTAACTTAAAATCCTAAAAATTACTGGATAACCAAAACTTTAATTTTACCCCCATCACCCTTTCTGGTCAGGGTTAATTCCTAAGGTTCCCGGATTTCCAAAACTATAATAATAGACTTATTTCCATTGTGGTCCTCACTAAAACAACAAAGCATTGTAGAACTGTTGTACAAGAACATGAGAATCGACCCAGAGTAATGTGAGTTCAATATTGAGGGATATAACTTATTTACAAACCTTTCTCAAGAAACTTGCAAGATGGGTGTGGTTATCTATGCTAGGCAAGACCTTAGAGCCAGCCAGGTGAGGGTACAGGGAGAGGATGTTTTTGAAGAGTCCAAGTTGTGTAAAATTAAATTAAAGGGAGGAGACTTACCCGGTACTTATTGTCAGGTGTATCTACAGATCCCCAATCTGTGGCCCAATAAATCAAAGGAACTTGAAGAGACAATGCACATTACAGAGGGAAGCAAACACCCAAGCCACTGGACCTATGGCACCTTTACCAACAGTGCATAACAGAGACATGACTGATCACCCAAGGGTCTAACGAGCCAATCAGTGGTGAAGAGGATAAAAGTAAAAAAAAAAATATATAGGATTGCAACAATGATGAAGCATTACCAAGCTTAATACCACCATCTCACAGGCTTCCCTATACCAACAACTCAAGTGATTCTATTATTCTATGTAAAATATATAAGATATTCACCAAGTTTATATTTTAACATTTCTAGACAGATTATGGGAATAGACAAATAAATAATATAACGTTTATAAAATATATAGTTATGCAGGAGACTAACTATGGAAGCTCATCTACACACACTTCAGTCTCCATTGTTGTGGTGGTCTCCTCTACACAGGCGTTCGTCAGCACATAATCTGGATTCTCTTATTTTTATCATATTTACAAAAACGAAAATTAGGACAATTACTATGTTATAATTTGTAATTTATTGTCATTATTAATTACAGTAGTTAATGTTTTTTTTTATTGGTTACTTTTCTTTACTAATTACAGAAGAAACAAACAATTTAAGGTTAGGTTAGGTTTGGTTAGGTGGCATCAGTCTTATGTTATCTTAGAAACCTGTAGGGTCTTTTTTTTTCTAGAATAAAAAATCATCTCTATATTTTATCACATGCAATAAACAGGAAGAATAACCTGACCATATTGTTGCAAAGATCAGACCTTATTCTTACTTATTTTTAGGTTCCTCTTTATTGCATGGGATAAAATATAGTCCAGTAATCAATTAGGATTCTTGAATAAAAAAGGATCCTGTATACTGTATCATAAACATTCCAGACCAGCACAATCATCATCCTTCATACTCTGTCTTTTCTCTACTCACCTTCAGCTCTGTACATATTCACTTCACCTGAACAATCTTCCTTTGTGTTCTCTCCATTTCTCTGTCTCAAGTCACATCTTTGTCAACTTCAAACACTCCATTCACACTACTGTATTTATGTACAATTTATTTTTCATTTTAATATTTTGCATAATGTTGATTCACAATGCGGTACAGTGCAGGAGGCATTCTTCAATTGACAGAAGGGCTGTGTTCCTGTGTTAAACCTTCTATATAATCACTTTTTGGTCACGCTCAGAGACATTCCTACAAAAAAATCCCCCCAAACATAATGAAAACTTTTGGTGTATACAGGAATTATAAGTTAATAATAAACATAAGTAAAATACTGTACAGGGAGTGGAGGACATGGATGTTACTGTGAAACTGCAGCACTGGTTGTAATGCAGCATGAGGCCCAACCAAGGCATATAGGTTTAAATTTTGTAGTGATGTGCCCAGGGCCAGTGGCAGGGTATTTGGCACCATAAGGAAGATGTTTATTTGTGCCCCCTAGACCCCACGATACAGCTCCCCTCACAACACAGTCCTGTAACCATCCAAAGGAAAAGTTATACAGCATTGTTTTCTCAGCAAAATATTTATTCATAAAAAGATATAAAAGAAGTATTACTATCAGAATGATCTTAGTATATGTTGTATAAAAAACAAATGTTACAGGAACTTACAGCCAGGTACTCTATGAGACACAGTCCTACTATAGCTGCACTTGTCATTCCTTTATCCTTGCAAATTGGCCAGTCAGTTCCTTGATATCAAGTTTTGGGGCAATTTTGTGCTCTATGGACAAAGTTGTTAATCCAACAAGCCTTTCTTACACCATTGTGGATCGTAGATATGTCTTTATCATTATAAGCTTTGAAAAACTTGGCTCGCCACTTGCAACTATAACAGGCAGTCAGGAGAATTTGGATGGCAATAAATATGGTGGGAACTTCATTCAGATTATTTTCACAAATGAACTTCAACACCGCTTGAGGTGTTGTAGATCCTGGTAGATGATGCTTGAAGTTCACAGCACAAGTCAGCAGCATTAATGTCTTTATATTCACAAAGCTGCAAAGTTGATTCTACCTTTATGCAGTTTTCCATCACAGAATTCAGATGAAGCATTTGCTCAAATCGTTATTTAACTGACTGGATTGCAACATCAAGTACTGTACATGTACTGTGAAGTCAAAGTTCACTTAAAATTTTTCCTTTAGGTCCTGAACAGATTTGTCTTCTAATTCATATGCAAATTCCTTCTTTGTTCTCATTATGTGCACTGGTTCTGGTTCAACGACTGCACGTGTTTCATGTTCTCTTGTTTTACACATACTCATCAGTGACTGGATCAAACAAAGCCAAATACTCAACAAACTTTAAGAAGTTTCCATTACCTGAACTGTATAATTTCTCATTCTTACCACAAACTGCAAGGTTTTGTATTCCAAATACAGTAATCTTACTAAAGCAGTAAGTTGTTCCAATAACTGCTGCCAATATTTCTCTTACATTTAATCCTACAAAAATGTTCAACTATTGGTAGACTGTACTGTAGTTTTATTTTTTCTCGCCCATAGTTCAGTTCTTTCCAATTTTGAATATTTTCCAAATGTTCGTTGTGTTTTTCATGGGAGGAGAGTATTGCAGAGATATTTTTCCAGTCTTTTGACCCATTCCCAAAAAGTGACGCTACACCAAATGTTTTGTTGCTAATATGTTTGCAACCAAAGCAAAACACAGAATCTGTTTACACATTACAGCAGCCACTGGTGATGCATTTCTTCCCCATTTGTAAGCCGCCTCTTATGATGTTTAGTAGAGAATTTTCTTATATTCCATCCTTAGGAAATTTTAAATCCGTAACTTCTTCGGGTCTACGTTCTACCAGAATTTGTCAGAAAAGGCCATCACGTATAAACCAAATAGCAGGATCACCATAGTTCAGGTTACTTATATTTGTAGTAGACCTATATTCATCACATCTGGATTCTGGCAATCTTCATTATGTGTATCAGATGTACTCAGATGTTCATTATCCTGATTAACCTCTGCATGTGCAATTATAGGGGCTAGTTGTACTCCTACCTCAGAATCTGTTTCATGTTGTGAACTGTCTTGCTGTTGGTGGAGGTATTTCAGTAAGGAAGCCTCTAGGTCTGTTTGTTCTTTCCTCCCTTCAGCTTTCTGTTTATGATACTGAGCTCCAGATGGACACATTTTATCTGCCATGCTGGAATACAGAAATTATAAGAAATAAAAATATGTTCTTACCAAGCACAACTACGAATAAATAGAAATTATTGTTAGTACATGGCTTATTATTACATGCTATATAAGGAGGATTTTTCTAAATGTCGTACCTGTACTGGATGGCATTTGGTACAGTGTAATTTATCATGTCTGCGCCACAATTTGCCTTGTTATTAGCAGATAAAATCCAGCAATATTATGTTCAAAGAAATAGCTTTTACTTGTGTAAAACTTCTGCAATGTTAAAACATAGGTCCTAGGCAAGTTGTCTGGCAGAAACAGGAGTGTTACCTCTAAAAGTTTTGTACATAACTTACCTGCACGCTGCACCTCATGTAGTGTAAACACTATTGACGTTACCTTGTGTGACTTACTTAACAATGGATGTTTGAATTAGTCATTTATAAATATAATGTATTTGAAATTTAGGAATATACTGTAATTTTTCCTTGAGAATTTTGGCACCCCCAAAATTCTTGCACCCCAGTCGACTGCCTAGTTCACCAAATGGTAGCACCCTTCCTTTGTGTACCAACTGTAAGTCTACTGCATTGTTCATACTCGGTACCGTATACTATATACATTAGGAGATGTTTTGCTTTTAGTGGATTTGATTCTTTATGAGGTTTTATCTGAAGAAAAAGTGCTAAACTTATTCATTTAATATTTTATTCTTTCCATTGACAACAGATCCAACTGTGGGGTACTAAACACATCATTCTTAAAGTCAAAATATCTTGAGTCAGCTGGTCTTGCCACTGCTTCACATAATGATCCTGTGAGCCATGATAACTAAAGCACGAAATGTATTTAATTTCTAGTTTAGTTTACCACTCTTGTTTTATTTTGTCTTTATAAACTGACCAAGTCCAGTACAGAGAGCCCTGAGATGTCTGTGTTAACACCTCAACATCTTCTAATTCTGAGAAAAAAATCATAAAAAAGATAAAAAAAATTAATTTACTTTGGATTTTCTGAATGTAAACGGAAAGATGGGACAAATATTTCTTTTTGTAAATTTAGATTTTAAAAAACCGGATCTTTGTAAACCAGGACTGCCTGTGCTGTACATTCATATTATCAACTCAGTACATTAGTTTCTATACAATATTGCCTCTGCCACCTCCTCTGCATACTCCAATATACAGTACAGTAATTTACTTAATTTCTTATAGATCTGTTTCAACATTCCCACAATTCATGTTTACTCAGCAATTTCCTAATTATTACAGAATGTACTTAATAGTGTAAGTATTGCACATGAAATTTTGGTGTGCTTAAGATTTAGATTAATTTATATCCAATGATCATTCAAATACACTTTAGTTGATGTTTTTAATTGTACTGGAAGCAGATAGCTGCATCAAAATAACTTAATGCATAAATAACTTCATGCCATGTAATAATGTCTTGCTCATAAACATATTAATAACGTTTTCTGCAATATGCCAAAAAATTATTGACCACACATTAAGTTTTACCCGGTAGCACTAGATTGTCTTGGATCAGCCACTCTTTGGAACACAGCCAGGAACTTGTCTCCACTGTTACGAGACACCTTCTGGCCCTCCTCGGTGCTCTCAAACAGGTATTTAACCACTGGATCGTCAGCCTTTGTAAAGAGAAGATGTACAAGATGAAATTATGACAATTATAATACAGTACAGAACAGTATACAAAACATTAAATACATAATAATTAAACACTTGATCCTGAAATTCCTTTTTCTGGAAGAGTCACAACCCTGGTAGTTCATCGTAATATAAGTTTCCAATCTGAAGCATCTAGTTTGGGAGTCGTCTAATATCCTACACCTTATGACATTGTACACATTAACAACAAACTTATTCTTTTATAATCTTTCATTCAATCTTACCACCTTTCTCTTCATACAGGTGAACTATCAGTACAGTACACCCTCTCTGTACTGCTATGGCTTAGTGGGACACAGCACAAACAGAAGCTATCACAGGAATGGCTAGAAACATGACACAAGATGAAAAATAAGATCCAAAGCTTATTGACAATTTAAGTAAGTCAGTCAAGTAAGACAATGAAGAAAAAGTTTTTTACTGAATTAATTTACTTGTTTTGGTTTGTAAACATGAGTGTTTTTTTTAATTTCGTTACGAGGCTTTGTGAACCCTGTACCCCGGCAAAGGAGAAGTAAGGTGGTGAACACGAAAGTCTATCAACCTCATTTACTTTCCTTTATGTAATATCACAGAGGAATAAAAATCACAGGTTTAATGGTTATCATCTCATAACCATAACATGAACTATGATTAACAATATGGTGTAACTATCTAAATATTTATGTCAATTTATAGTGAAATCTCCATATACTCCTTGAAATAGAGGTTCCATTGTATTGTCATTTTCTTCTCCCACTTTTTTTTATTTTTCTATTTATCAGTTTAAACAAAAGCCTCAGAGAAAGATGGGAAATGGTAAAGGAGAGAATTGGAAGACAAGTGAAAACACACACACACACACACACACATTCAACACCTAACATTTTACAAAATCATTATTCTGAGGCTCTATACTCACCATATTATCCTCATTTAACCGGACAAATAGCGGATGTTCGGAGAAATGTCGAACCATCCAATCATAAAGGTCCTTGACGTCTGTAACGGTGTAAACGAGACCCTAAAAGAGATAAAAGAAATATACAGTACATTCAAATAGATTCTCGCATGAAGTCGCCTGCACATTTAGAAATATATTATTGAAAAAAATATATAAGGCATTGAACCTATAAAATCAATAATAAATACTAACTTTTTCACATGCAATTTGATTCATTAATACAAAAATTTAGTTATAATAATCTATGATAATTAACAAGTCCCCTAATAGCATCTACAACATAAATATTTTTGCAGTTACTCTTAAACGATTTATACCTGCACGAAATTTTACTTTACCGAGAAACCTGAACGTAAACTCATGTAAACGAACGAGATGCCGTAATGATCTCCTCGGCTCACTCACCCCTTCACGCAGGACATAGGCATACTCTGCCAGAAGCGACGGATTGATTATCCTCCACTTGTGCTTGGCTCTTTTGAAGTGTGGGTCAGGAAACAGGAAAAACATTTTACTCAACTGTGAAAATACAGAGAAAAAAAATATTAAAAGACTTCATTATCACAGTTTACAGCATCAAGAAATATATCAACGAATCAATTGAAAAATGCGTAAGTTTTCCGCTGATGACTGATACTAAGACAAGTGAGTGGACATAAAGGCGGTGAAGTATTTTGTACGTCTGGGAGCGGATGTGTGAGCAGGTGGAACAATTATTGAGTGGAACAATGAGTGTGTGGATGTGTGAGTGAGTGGAACAATGAGTATCTGGATGTGTGAGTGAGTGGAACAATGAGTGTGTGGATATGTGGATGTATTAATGAGTGGAAGAATAATTAATATAATGAATCCGACTTGTATCAAACGCATCAACTATGACTGAGGAAGTAAAGGGAAATTGCTGAGCCATCATTGCTATCTGGGGATGATAAGCACAGACTAGGAATGTTAAGAGAAGGAACATGATGGAAGAAAAGAATTATTTGATAGACTGATGGGGAGAAAGAGCATAGGATAAGAGGTGGCGAAATAGGATGTGACAGAAAATGAATCGGGGGTTTGTTCATTAGATTGCAAAAGACTGGTAGTGTGACAAGACAATATGGAGATTTATGCATAATACTATAGTACAGTGTGACTTCTGTATGGCACTCCCTAGTTAAGTGAAGAGTTTGGAACAAGAAGTGATCACTCACCTGCCCTTTCTCAAAAAAGTTTGGCAGGTACTTCATCGCATTGGTTCGTATACAGGCAATGTTCTGGTAACCCCCTGGTAAGTCCTTCTTCTCGTCTCTCAGTCCATGTATGCGGTCAACAACGAAGTCTGACACCTTCACCCTTATCTCCATACCCAACATCAGTGTGTCAGGAAAGATATGTGCAAGAGCCACTGAAAAAAAATAAGAAATTAAAAGAAATAATTACTATAGTGTATAACTAACATTTATTTTTGACTAGATGTTTGAGCTTAAGTGTATAATCTCTATGATCTCCAACCTTAACTTATCTTAAATCTGAGGACAGTCTGGGGCTTCTAGCTGTACTGTACATGAGTCACATAATATAAGCTAGACCAAAGACTAAGTGACTCTAATGATTCTGCTCTCATGCACATCTTACCACTGTCTTGACCTGGGGCATAATTACCTTTGAGAAATCAATGTTATGTAGTTACTGATGGCTGTGTGGAAGCGGCCATGAAGCACCAGGTTGTCCCATTGCAGGTTAATGAATACCTCTCTTACTTTGGCTAGATAAGATTTAATCCAACTATTTCACCTTTTGCTTCACCTCCTAATCAAATACTGTTCAAGTTATCTATCGGAGCTAAAATCCATCTGAGGTTCTTGGATGGCCTTCATTCTACCAGTACAGGGTCACCCCCACTCACCCAGCAGTCCCCCGTACCCACAGCCAATATCAGCAAACTCTACTTTCTTGCTGTTGTCTCCAGGGAAGTATTTAGGGAAGTAAGGACTCCAATTCATTGCCGATGGACATACTGGACTGAAAAAAAAAAAATGTACTGTATTGAAGAAACTTAAATATGTCATTAATTACTTACCTAACCTAAGGACAGAAAACTTTAATTAAAATAAGTTTCTTCACAACTCCAGAAAATTTACAAGTCACACCAATAAACAAACACATGTGCAGGTGCTGTATTATATATTGTCTTATGTCTTTGCCTTTAATAACTATAGAGAGGAAAGTGTATGGTCATAACTTGAGTCTTACTAGTCAAAGTTGTGGTCAGCAATTGGATTGGAGTGGGCTCTCTGTCTGTAGTACTTCTTCTGGGGTAGCTTAGGCATTGTTTCTACTGATCACTTGGTTATACTGTTTTGAATTTTACAGAGGAGGGTAAAACTTTCTACTCTGTTTCATACAAGCCTTCCAGTCAGTATGTCTACTCGTGCCTCTCAGCTGTTGTGTTGGGGGTGGCTTAAATGTACAAGGTTACTAATATGTTTTTTCATTATTTCTTTTTTTAAGCGATTGATACGAGCTATACAACGACATATAACCTAGAATTTTTTTTATGAATATTATTAAGTGGTGTTGTATGTATAATCTGGAAAAAATTGGTTAAGTGGCTCTGTTTTTGGAAGGTTTGCAACATAGTTTGTCTTTGCAGCATGGTGGTTGCAGAAAACGAAGGTAAATATCTGGTTTAAGGGGACACTGTGCTCACTCACTTCTCTCAGGTCCTTTTCACTATCCTTGGGAGATATTCTTGTATAAACTTGCCCTTGGCCCATGGTATCAAGACAATCTAGGGCCCCGGCCACTTTATCGAGAAGGCCCCCCCCTTAACCCATCTCCCTACTATTTTTCAGGAAAAGAAATTGTAAATTTCAAAGGTAGTTTATTTAATGGTTTTTTGGGTGTGATTTCAACTTATAAAATAATAAACTATAAGGCCATTTCGAGTGTTTTCTCTCTAAGTTTTAAGGTCCTGGTAATAAGATAGGGTAAGATAGAGCTCTTGTAAATTTGCCCAAATTTATGAATAACAAAGGAACATAAGTGGAAATTAAGTAGATACTCAGTTCTGTGAATATACGGAGGCATACAGGAAGGTAGGCCCATCAAATTTTTGTATATACAATAAAGAAGAAGTCAAAATGAGTGAGACCAAGGTCTCGGGAGAAGGAAGGCAAGTGTAAGAATAAGGAGATAGAAGTCAGGATGGGTATATTGAAGGCAAAGTCTGTTGAAATAAATGATGTGTTGGAAACAAATGCTAAGAATGACAGGGGTTTTGAAAGCAGACTGGGAACCTTGGAGGCTAGAACAGTGAGTTTAGAAGGGAAAGTAGATTCTAGCAGAGCAACAGGTAGTGCCACTGAAGTGAAGCAGGAAGACAACACAGGGAAACCAGAGCCTGTTGGTGAACTTATAGAGGAACTAAATGAGAGAAAGATGAGAGAAAACAACATAGTGGTATATGGTGCACCAGAACCTGGATCCCCAACAATGAGCGAAAGGATTGAGTGATAAATCTTATGCACTGAACCTAATAAAAGAATGTGGCATCACTAGTGGCCAGGAGATAATAGTTAAAGTGATTAGGCTGGGTAAATTTATCCAGGGAAAAGCTAGACCTATGCTAGTCAAGTTATCTACTGCAGATATAAAGGCCAACCTATTTAGAAACATCAGGAACCTGCAAGGTAATATGAAATTCCAAGACATAAGAATAGCCAATGACTTAACTATAAGGGAGAGAGAAAATGAAGCTGTTTTATGGCAGGAGGCGAAGAGTCGTCAAAATAGGGGTCCAAGAGAAGTAGTGAAGCTCAAAGAGGAGAAACATGTACATAACAGTAGTGTAAATAGTGTAAGGAAACTGATTAAAAATAGGAAAAAACAAGAACATAATGTTAATGTAGGTAAATTTCTTATGTTTAGTAATGTGAATGTGTTGAGTCCAGACAAGTTAATAGAGTTAAATGTACAGTTGAAGGAGATGGGAAATAATACTCAAGTAATAGCCCTACAGGAGGTAAAGCCAAACTACAGATATGAACGGATTACAGCTGAATGTAACCTAGAAGGATATGACATTATAGAGCAAAATCTCCTTAATAAGGTAGGGAGAGGTATGTTAATATATATTACGAAAGGAACCAAATTTTACAGTGTTGAACTTGATACTAAGTTTTGTGAATATTGCTGTATAGAAGTGCCATGTAGTAGTGGTAATTTACTATTTACCTCCATTTACAGAAGCCCTAATAGCGATGAAAGCAATAATACTAATTTGCTCCAACTTATGCAGGAAGTCAATGATAAAAATGTGCTTTATAAAATAATTGTAGGTGATTTTAATCTTCCACAAATAAATTGGAGTAATTATACTTCTGTAATGGGACTGAATGATGTTGGTACCATGTTCATCGAGAAAGTACGGGACTACTTTCTCACTCAACATATAGAGGAAATCACCAGGATAAGAGGAGACAGCACAGGCAATACCCTTGACCTGTTGTTCAGTAACGAAGAATCTATAGTAGGAGATATCAAGCTGGAGAGTCCACTGGGAAAGAGTGACCATGCCTGTATTTATTTCCATTGTGACATACAGGAGATGGAAGACAAAAGTAAAAAACAAGTGTACATGTATGAAAAAGCAGATTACCTACTGATGAAGCAAAGGCTTACGATGGACTGGATCCAATACTTATCATTGGAACCAGATATTGAAAGTAAGTGGAATAAGTTCAAAGGAAAATTCCAGGCAGTCATTGACGAGTGTGTCCCTAAGAAGATAATCAGAGGACTGAGGGTTAGCAGAAAAAGAACAAATGAAAAATTACCTATGAACAGGAAGCTCTGGGCTAAAGTGAAGAAAAAACAGAGACTGTGGGAGAGACTGAAAATAATGAAAACGAAGTTCAATGAAAGAGCATGCACAAGGGAGATGTATAGGGGCAGTCATCGATGATAAGCTGACGTTTTCTGACCATCTAGCTGAGAAAATCAACAAGGCTAATAAAATAGTGGGCATTATTAGAAGAACTTTTGTTCATCTGGATGCACCTATATTCAAGGCTCTGTACACTGCTCTGGTTAGGCCACACCTTGAGTATGCTAATCAAATTTGGTGCCCATATCTCATTAAGGATATTGAAGCAGTAGAGAATGTACAGAGGAGGGCTACCAAATTAGTACCACAGATCAAGGATTTATCTTATGAGGAAAGACTAAGGAAATTACAGTTACCGACACTGGCGTACAGAAGATCTCGTGGGGACCAAGTGGAAACATACAAGATAGTGTGTGGCATATATGACCAGGCATGTACAGCAGGAATGTTCCAGATGACACTACCCGGGGGAACACAAAGAAGATCTACAAAACAAGAGCGAGGCTAAATCTCACAAGACACTCGTTCACGAGTAGGGTTGTCAACACCTGGAATGGGTTACCTGAGTGGGTAGTGAATGTGGAAAAGTTTGAAGCAAAATTAGATAAATACTGGAAAAATCAAGAACAAGTATATAATTTTAGGGCACAATTATCCGCCACACACAGCCACCGTCTGAGTAGAGAAGAGGCTATTGAGCTGGAGCTGTGAGCCTCTTCCTGAAGATCATCTGTGAGTATTACCAGCAGTCGTACTTAGTACTCAGAAACAAAAATTTACCTTTCAATAAAATAAAATCTGACAAAATTGTAGTAATCAGAATGTCTGATTTTAATTCATTTATTGGAAGAAACAACTGAATCTAGATGAAGTACTTTACAGATGTATTGAACTAAAAGTTAGCTTTTCGAGCTTTCATAGCAGCAAACTGGGAAACCACATCTTCAAAGTCAATCACACGTGTTAGATCGCTTTCAATGGACATGGCAAGGCAGTTCAGCTTATCACACGCTCAGTGTTTCGATCTTTCACATTGTAGCACGCCTTTCACTTTTCACCAGTTTCATTTTTGAGAAGCTGCGCTTCACACACTGTGACATGCAATGACAGAAATATTCTCAAAGCTATGCTGACATTTGGAAAAGTTGCTTCCAAATTCTGATGTTTTATGAACTTGAGCATCGACAGTGGTGAATCCATTTTCTCTTTCAATCTGATCATAAAATTATAAACATTTTCAAATTCATCAGCACAATCAGAATCAAAATCATCTCTGTATTTTGATGTGAGATGGATTACTCTAGCTAGCAAACCATTTTAGAAAAGCAAAATCGTGTTATTTTTTTTTTAGTTCTCTGTAATCTTCTTTGTGTTGTGCAAGAGAAGTCCGCAGTTTATCTATGATTAGAGTGAAAGTTTGCACTCTGAACATCTGACCTGGGGATTCCATCTGGTGATTTACTTTCATCAAAATATCTCTAGTTTTCTCTGACTTTTTTCTTCATATTGATAATGGTGGTTTATACATGGCAATCTCGTCAAATTTTTCACGCAGTTTCTCAGTGAACTCCTGTAAAGACTCCTGTCAGCAAATCCACACTTTCCTTTTGCAGAGTTAGGTTCACTTATTGAACCGAATATGTATTCTATTCCATATTTTTGCCATAAACCTGTTTCAAGTTTTTCTAGGCCAGTAATTAATTCATTTGCCTCTGATCTCATAGATTCAGGTTCATCATCATTAGCCACAAAGTCTTTCAGGTTTTCATTATCGCTTTTATAGTCCAGGCACAATGCTTTTGTAGCCTCAGCATGGCAAGACCATCGCGTAGTTGACAAGCGTTTTAAAGTTAAAATCTTGTTGTTTTCAATTGGAGTGAAACCCTTTGTTAAGATAGCCCAACCATGTGTTGATCCTGCGCAGAAAGCATAAAGTTTTTTCAGCAAACCAACAAATTTTATGGCTTCCAAACAACAACTAACACTATGTACTCCTACCAGATTCAGTGAATGGGCAGCACAAGGTACATTATGAGTGAGATTATTTACATCTTTGATCTTTCTTTGGAGACCTTCATATTTCCCAGACATATTGGCAGCATTATCGTACAATTGTCCACGACACTTTTTAATATCTGTGTCCAATTCATTCAATGAGTTAATGCAAGTTAGTCAGTTCTTGAAGTATCGGGTGTAGAATCTAAACATAAGGAGTAGTATTTTGCACTCTAAATCTCTTTACAAACAGTTGACAAAACATTTTTTCTCATTACCAAAATAAGTTCATCACAAATGGTGGAGCATAAGTAACTTGGATTTCCTTTGCTTTTATTTTCAAACCGTGAAATGTGATCAGCCAGAAATGGATCAAACTTGCTTATTAGTTCAAGAATACCTAGGAAGTTACCATTATGGGGTGATCCTATGACTTGATCTGCTGTTTAAACTAAAAACATTTTCCAAAATACACGTTCTCAACATTTCCTCATAAAAGAACCATATATTCAGAATAAAAACCCAGTTACCTTACCCTGGAGTCATTATTATAAGTTTTTCATGATAAGTAAGAGTCTCTACTGCTAAATGATT